TGAAGTCACTCTGAATGGGTTCCTGGATGGCTTCTGGATGAGGGCTGGTCACTAGCAAGATCATCCATGATTGGAAGCTTGGGTTTTTCAGCCCTGCCCCCCCTACATTCTCTTGAAGGGAGAGGGGCTGAAAATGGAGTTAGTGATTGAGCATGCCTACATGATGAAGTTTCCATAAAATCCCCAAAGAGGGCTTGGAGAGCCCTAAGTTGGGGGCTGGTGAACCCATGGAGGTGCTGGGGGACTGGCATGCCCAGGTAGGGCATGGAAGCCCTGCATTCTTTCCCACATACCTCACCATAGGCATCTCTTCCATCTGGATGTACATCTGCCTCCTTTTATAGTAAAGTGGTAAACATTAAGTAAACAGATTTCCTGAGTGCTGTGAGTTGCTCTAGCAAATTGATCAAACCCAGGGAGGGAGTCATGGGAACCTCCAGTTTAAAGCCAATTAGTCAGAAGCACAAGTAATAACACATACAGAAGCAATTGGCATCTGAAGTGGGGAGTATCATCTTGTAGGGCTGAACCCTCATGGGGCTGAACATATCTCTAGGTAGATAGTGTCAAAGTTGAGTTAAATTGTAGGACACCCAGCTGGTGTTGCAGAGAATTGCTTGGTGGCAGAAAATCCCACACGTCTAGTCTCTGCAGTACCATGAGTGTAGCAGTTGTGTGAGGAAAGGAGACACACAGGAGGAAAATTTTTTTCTGAAACACTAAGCAACCTATGAATCATTGTAGTGGATAAGGACATGGTCACTGGTGGCAGTTTTTCAGATTCAAAAACTTGTTCCACAGCTTATTAGCTTTGGGCAAATGATTTAACCTCACTCTGTCTCTCTTCCCACATGTGTAAAATGGGACTAGTAATAGTACCTTTTCTGTGGAATTGTTTTATGGGTCACATAGATAGTACCTGGCATCGTAAGCACTCAAACAGAAGGGTGGAAGGAGATGTGTCGAGAATACAGAGAATACATTTAAAAATATTTCTTGGTGTTTCCTTTCCATCAGCCTGTCATGAAATGGAGACCCAGGGAAGATCCCAGGTGGACCACTCATAGCCATTTCCTTCCACCACTTGGAAGACACAACCCAGGGAGACCCTGGAGCTTCCAGCCTTCTTGTACAACCTCCCTGCAGTACTGCACACCCAGTGATAAGCCCTTGAGGTTCACAAATAATTTTGCTTTGAAGTTAGGAAATCTAAGGAAACAAACATGAAACCATAGAATTTTAGTATCAAACTGTCATTTAAAAAACTACAATTAAGGGATCCCTGGGTGGCGCAGCGGTTTGGCGCCTGCCTTTGGCCCAGGGCGCGATCCTAGAGACCCGGGATCGAATCCCACATCGGGCTCCCGGTGCATGGAGCCTGCTTCTCCCTCTGCCTATGTCTCTGCCTCTCTCTCTCTCTCTCTGTGACTATCATAAAAAAAAAAAAATTATTAAAAAAAAAAACTACAATTAAAAAAAAAAACACTACAATTTTCAGTCGCTCTCAACACTCGAGACTTGGAAACACCTATGGAGTACACACTTCTCCATTCTGGAAAAACCACATGTGGCCTTTTGCCCCGGCAAGTGTAAAGCAGGCTCTACCTTTACTTCCCCAGAAAAACAGAGACAGGGCAGAGATGGTTTTAAAATTAAAGCAAAATTATGTGGTTTGGGGCACATGGGGCATGAAATATTCTTCCTCCATAAGCATATAGATTGTTCTATGCTCACACATTCTGGCTTGTTCTGAGAAGAGGGTGTGTGTGTGTGCTTGTGCCTGTGGATGCAATATTCACTTCAGATTGGAATGGAACCTGGCAAAACATTGGACTTCCCAAAAATTGAGTAGGATGAGGCTTGAGCCATTTTGAGTTGGGCACTAAAATTTCACGAGACAGTCTATCTAATGGGATTTTATGCAACCTTTAAGAAAAAAAAAAGAACGAGGCAGGTGTAAAGTATTTTGTTTAGTGTGAAAAGCAAGGTACAGAAGGGTTTGTGTAGAGGTTCCATAAGTGGGTAAAAAATTTCCAAAAGGATGAGATCGAATATATGTAGAGGAATATGCAAGAAAATGCTAACAATGACTGCCTTCTGCTGGGCCTGCAGGTGGCAGGGGTGAAGGTCATTTGCTATTTATTTATTTATGTTTTTTTATTTAATATTTATACCTCATGGTTTTGTGCTTGATTTTTAAGAAAGCTATATACATGTACAACTACTAAAAAACACACTTTGAAAATCAATGTGACTTCATTTTGTAGTCCTAAGCTGGTGAGGCCTAGAAATATTTTCTAGACTGAGTCTGGTTATGACATTAGTTCATAGGCCTGCGCCCCACCCCCCCAGCGAAGGCAGTGATTCCACAGACACGTGCGGACACACAAACACAAGTAAATAAAGGGATAGTCCCGTACGGAACTGTCAGCTAGGGATCCTGCCAGGAGTCGAGAAAGCTGGCAACCAGAACTGGGAACAGGCAGACAAGGAAGGCTGAAGGGGATTCAGTGGACTCCAGGGTGGCAGCCTAGAGGCCTCCCTCTCCTCTCCCCAGTCCCTCCCTCATCTTCCTCTTCTCTCTCTGTCTCTCTCTCTCTCTCATTTTTTTTCCAAACAAATATTTAGTGAGCATCTATTGTGTGCCAGGCAGTGTTCTAAGCGCTGAGCATGTAGCAGGGGACTCTGGGTACTGAACACACATCCTTGGACTCTTGTTTGCTGCCTCGTGTTCTTGGATCCCAGGCAAATGAAGCCATCTGACTGCACAAGACAATGGGGACCAAAGTGTTGTCTCAGATCAGGCCCGTTGCCACTGCCCTCTCCAGACGAGCACACTCTACCAGATGTACCATGCCTTCTCCCTTAGCAAATATTGAGCACCAGCTGTTGGCAGGCACTGTGCTAGGCTCTAGGGATACCTCACTGAGCAAAAGACATGAGAATTTTGTCCTGAGGCTGACATTCTCCTTGAGGGAGACAGACCGTATACACTGATTATAATTGGTGTTCCCTCGGGGTCTCCTGATAGAAGGTCTCTATCCTCACCTTCAAAAATCTGCCACCACCACCCCCTCCCTTGGTCCCTTCCAGCTGTGCTCCCCATGCTGCTGGGCTCTTTGAGCTTCACGCTCATCTCTGGTAAAATGGAGATGACTGTAGGAAGAGTTAGCAGAAAACTAGTGATTCTAGCATGTGTACAATCCTCTGAGGAGCGTGCTGGGACTGCAGAGTCCTGGGCCCAACGCCAGAGATTCTCATTCAGTGCATCTGGGTTCAGGTCCCCTGGATGAGGCTGAGGCTGGTGATCCTGTATGGGAGCCCTCCAACCCCACCTGAGGAGCACTGTTCTAGATGACAAAGGGGAGAGGGAAGGTGCTCCCTAAACGTCAGCTGTATTAATGTCGCTCCACAAGGAATACCGTGCTGGGATAACTGGAGTAACAGGCGTGACGTTCCAGCCTTGGAGGTGGTGTGAATGGCTATGAAAATGGAGCCCTCAATCTGCTGCTACAGGGAACCTCATCAATTGATGGTCCCAGTTGCTGCCTTTCTGGATCTACCCACGTCTTTGTATTGACAATGACCCCAACTAGTGACTGAGCCGGGTACAGATGCTCAGCCAGGTTCGTTCCTATAAGACACAGGACTGCGTTGACAAGAAACTTCAGTTTGAGGATTCCCCAGTTCCCTTGCCAGAACATTCCAGGAAATGAGGCAGCACAAGACTGTTCCTATGCCTTCCTCCTTCCCCCTCTCCTTCACAGGTGTCAGGCCTGCATCATGGTCTAAGGGTGGTCTCTAACTTCTCTAGCTCCCCTTATGCTTGACACATGTTACCTCCAGTAAATCTCTTACATGTCTAGTCTCATCTCAGCATCTCTTCTCTGAGGACCTGGACTGCCACACCTGGCCAGTGTGTGACCCCAGAATAGCCTTCAGTAGTGCCCTGTTTATCGCCCCCTTTCCTTCCTGGTGGCAGCAGTGCTTGGCCTGTGGGATCACATGCACAAAGGGAAGCAAGGGCTGCCCCCTCCAAAATCATTTTCTCCTCACTTGGGTAGGTCTGACATGGCCATGCTGGCATGGCACCCATGCCTCTCTGGGGGTCGTTACTGTCTGGTACATGTCAGACCATGGCCATTGGGGTTAGTTTGTCCTAACTCCACATGACCTTGTGCAAGTTACTCAACCTCTCTATGCCCTACAGCTATGCTCACCTCACAGAGCTATTGTCCAAGAAGTTTAGTACTGCCCTGTTGTCGCAGTGTGCTCCAAGGAGTGTTGGGCAAGTACCTTGCCTTCCCCTTTCTCCTGACCTACTTAAAACTCGCCCCCTGTGGTTTCTATCACTCCTTTGGGTGAAGAGGCCATATGGTATACTGGAAACGCCCTGGTTCCAGGCCAGCCCAGTCACTTCTAGCAACGGGGTTTCTATAGGTCACTTTCTTTCACTACTGTTCAGTTCCTTTATTTGCAAATTTTAAGAAGTTGAACATCTCTTTTTAGAGGTTGGGCTTTACTTCTAGCTCCAAGAGTCTATGAAGGGATAGTACTCTCAGAGGCAAATGTCATATTCTTCTACTCTTTCCTGTTAAATGTATACGAGACACGTATTGGTTCAGTTCTGTTCTAGGCCCTGGGGATCCAAAACTGAAAGGGGAATGCCCGGATGGCTCCATCTGCTTTTGGCTCAGGTCATGATCCCAGGGTTCTGGGGCTGGGCCCAAAGTCCTCCTGTGCTCGCTGCTCAGTGGGGTGTCAGTTTCTCCCTCCCCCTCTGCTACCCCCCCCCCACTCATGTTCTCTCTCTCTCTCAAACCAAAATCAAAAACCCCCACAAAAAACTGAAAGGAGATGGTCTTTGACCTCAAGTTGCTGAGTCTTCCTAGGGAGACAAACAAGTCCACAAATGATTCCAGTACGACAACGGTTTTGTCACCACCTAGAAGATGAAAGACTTCTGCCTCGATTTTTACTAACATTTTACAATAGGAAGTGGGAGAGGTACAGGAAATCATTTCCTGATGATGTTTGGCTCAGAGAGGAAGGACAATGTGTTTCAATGTCCCTTGCTTTAAAGAGAGAAAACAAAAGTGTACTTATTTTCATAGAGAAGAAGAAACCAAAAAACGGTGAAGGTTAAACAAATAGGGAGAGTTTTTTTTTTTTTTCTACAGGTCAAGAGGCCAGTTAATAATTACTGAGACCCAAGCTGGTATGTGGTGTCCAAAACTTCAAGAGGCCGGTTAGTAGGAGTCGGCTTCACCCCAGCTCTGGGACTTCCAGCTCAGCGATGCCCCCGGGCCTCAGGGAGAGACACTTCTGCTCATGGGGGCTCCTTCTGTGGCTCAGCATTGGAAGTGCAGGTAATTTGGGAGCTCGGGACTTGAGTGGCATTTCTTTCAGTCAGTGGTTCTGTTGCTTAAGCCATCTATTTATGCAGTGCTAACCTTTGGAAGGTCCCCTAAAAGCCCTCTCTTGAGATGAATTTAGAAGAGGGAGGAAAAAAACCCTACAATCATAAAGGGACTGATGACGACCAGGACACCTTCCCAAGTGTTTTCTTCTTGTCCTCTTTTCTCCAAAAGCTGCATTATAATCCTCTTTGCCCGGCACAAGCCAGGATGACCATCAGAAAATAAACCTTGATCGATTCCAAAATATGATTGACATCCACCCTAAAAATATCCACTGTGCCAAGATACATTTAATTTTAAAATTTAAAATTTCCTGACTAAAGAAGATTTTTGTCACTGAGAAGAGTAGATGTCCTTGCTAATCTGCCGACCCAAATCAAACACAGGTTTGTCGTCTTCCCTGGGAGGACTACGATAGCTCTGCTACCACCGATAACAGGATGGCCTTTAGAAAACATTCCCGCAGGTGCCACTTGCATCTTACCTTTCCCCAGGTAAAAAGTCCACCCACCACGCCTGCTGGTTTAATGTAGCAAATCTAAACACTCCTGTGGCCTGGAGGTTCTCCTGCTGATGAAGATCCCTCTCCTCCTGGCACCGGTCCTCCCTTGTGGACCCCCTCACACCCCAAGTTCCCCATACAGGCCCCCATCCAGTTGTGTCACAAGACATTTAATTGTCCCTGCCCAGCTTTAGAATGTGTCAGTCCTTCTGCCTGGAGCTGCTCATGCCTTTTTGTTCATCTATGCTCCTCACACCTCCCAGAAAGTCTGCCAGCATTCTCCCTCTCTTGCAACATCTCCTGCCTCTACTCCACACCCTTCACTGCCCAGATGTTCAACGGGTAGGACAGCATTCACCTCCAGCATTGAAGGGTGGCTTTTAAAAGGTGCTGCTTAGCTGCATGGGTGCTTTCCCTTAAGTACTTATTTGTGTGGGTGTATAAAACGGTCTCCTTATATCTGTGTGTGAAATTCTTCCATATGAACATACAGGGGACCCCTGGGTGGCTCGGTGGTTTGGCGCCTGCCTTTGGCCTAGGGCATGATCCGGAGTCCCTGGATCGAGTCCTGGGTCAGGCTCCCGGTATAGAGCCTGCTTCTCCCTCTGCCTGTGTCTCTGCCTCTCTCTCTCTGTCTCTCTCTCTCTCTCTATGTCTATCATAAATAAATGAATAATAATTAAAAAAAGAACATACACAGCTATCTTGTTATTTGAAATGGCTGTTCATACACAATATACTAGATCTGAAAGGATTTCTATCTTCTACGTTTTTGATAGACGTGGGAAATATTGCCCTGCAAAGAAGGTATGACCATTTACTAGTAAGTATGCGAGCATGGCTGTCTCCCCACCTCTCAGCCAATGCTTTGTAGTATCAGACATTTTTCATATTGTCGCCTTGATAGAAAAAACAGTATTACATTGTTGTCTTAATTCTTACTTCTTATTATGATTTGTGCTTCTGGTGTCTTGTTTAAGCAATCTTACTCTAAAGACACTTTTTCGAATTTTCTTCTAAAGCCCCATGTGCTAGCCTAATCAGACTAAGATCACCAGGGACAAATTCTTTAATCATGGTGTGTTTTTAAATACAATGCTGAGTTTTATTTTGCCACAATTTTAAAAAATTTTATATGTATTTACATGTATATTATTTTGCATATATGTCCATAAAAAATTTATCCATCAGTTTCTTTTCTTGAGTTACCTTTGTCCTGTTGATACTAGGATTATTATTACCTCATGAAATAAGTTTTTATTCTATAAACAGTTTATATAAGATAAAGATTACTTATATTTTAAAGCAGTGGAGTTCTCAAAACCACCTAGCTCTAGTGTACTTTAGGGCCAGAGAAGACTCTTGATTACCAATTTAATGTTTGGATGCTACTAGTTTTATTTGGGCTTATTATTCCTTCTTGATTCAGTTTCACTAAATCACATTTTTCTAGAAAATTATCCATTTCTTGTAAATGGTGCAATACATTTGGGAATTTTTAAAAATATATTTTTTTATCTGTGATGTTCTGCTGTTACAATCTACTGATAGCTAGATAGATAGACACATAGATACATAGATAGATACATAGATTTATTTATTTATATATATATACTTTTAAAAATTTATTTGATAAAGAAGGGGGGCAAAGGGAGAGAATTCTGAAGCAGACACCAGGCTAAGCATAGAGCCTAATGCGGTCCTCAATCCCATGGCGCTGAGCTCATGATCTGAACAGAAAACAAGAGTTGGGTACTTAATCGACTAAGCCACCCAGGCACTCCTATTTGTTTTTTATCTCACTCATTACCCCGAGTGTAATTTTTGATTGGAGAACTCATATGTTTTTTTGATTATGGAAAATTCTTAACCATTATCTTTTCAAAATATTGCTTCTTTTCCTATTCTCTTCCTTTAGAGAACAGCTACTGGATAAAAACTGGAACCTCTCCATCTATTGTCTATACATTTTAACTATACTTTCATGTTAAAAGCTTTTAACTTCTGTACTGAACATTATAGTATTAATTCCTTTTTTAAAAAAAATTTAAAGATTTTATTTATTTATTAATGAGAGATACAGAGAGAGAGGCAGAGACACAGGCAGAGGGAGAAGCAGGCTCCATGCAGGAAGACCAACGTGGGACTCAATCCCGGGTCTCCAGGACCACGCCCTGGGCCTGCTGGAAGGCAGGCACCAAACTGCCGAGCCACCCAGATGTCCCTGATTCCTTTTTTATTTTTATTATTTTATTTTATTTTATTTTTTTCAAGGTAGACTAAATGGACCTTTTCCTTTTTTTTATAATAAATTTATTTTTTATTGGTGTTCAATTTACCAACATACAGAATAACACCCAGTGCTCATCCCGTCAAGTGCCCCCTCAGTGTCCATCACCCATTCACCCCCACCCCCCGCCCTCCTCCCCTTCCACCACCCCTAGTTCATTTCCCAGAGTTAGGAGTCTTTATGTTCTGTCTCCCTTTCTGATATTTCCCACACATTTCTTCTCCCTTCCCTTATATTCCCTTTCACTATTATTTATATTCCCCAAATGAATGAGAACATACACTGTCTGTCCTTCTCCGATTGACTTACTTCACTCAGCGTAATACCCTCCAGTTCCATCCACTTTGAAGCAAATGGTGGGTATTTGTCGTTTCTAATGGCTGAGGAATATTCCATTGTATACATAAACCACATCTTCTTTATCCATTCATCTTTCGATGGACACCGAGGCTCCTTCCACAGTTTGGCTATTGTGGACATGGCTGCTAGAAACATCGTGGTGCAGGTGTCCCGGCGTTTCATTGCATCTGAATCTTTGGGGTAAATCCCCAACAGTGCAATTGCTGGGTTTAGGGCAGGTCTATTTTTAACTCTTTGAGGAAACTCCACACAGTTTTCCAGATCCTTTTTTATTTTAATGGTCATCTTTTTCATTTCCAATTTTCAAACTAGTGTTTTCCTAAATACCTTAATTTATCATTTATGCATGTTTTTATTTCATAATTTCTTATGTTCCATATTTATTTTTAACCTTGAAGATTCTCAGCATACTTATTTTAAAGTCTTTGTCAAAGGCTTTTAAAATATTATTTTACCTGGAATGAATTCATGGTTCACTTATTGGCTTTATTGACTATCTTGGTAACATTCAATTTCTGTATATATTTAGACACTTTTTTAAGATTTTATTTATTCATTCATGAGAGACAGAGAGAGAGAGAGGCAGAGATACAAGAGGGAGAAGCAGGCCCCCCGTGGGGAACCCAATGCAGGACTCGATCCCAGGACCCTAGGATCACGACCTGAGCCAAAGGCAAGCCACCCAGATGTCTCTATATTTAAACATTTTGTTTGCAGGATTTAAAAAAGTGAACTCATTACTGAAATACAGCATATATACAGACAAGTGCACAGATTATTAATATACAGATTAATGGATTTTCAGAGTGAATTCCCCTGTATAACTATCATCTGGATCAAGAAATAAAACATTACTAGGTTCTTAAAACCCTTTGCACATATCTCCTCTCTCTTAATCACTACCAACCCAAAGATAACTAGTATCTTGACTTCTAACATAATAGATGAGTTTCTCTTTTTTGTTTGTTTTTGTTTTGTTTTGTTTTGTTTTTGATGAGTTTCATTTCAATGTTTAATGAGAAGCTTGTGTCTGGCCTCTCCCTACTTTCTCCCATCAACCCCTTCCCTTCTCTTCTTTCTTTCTTTCTTTCTTTCTTTCTTTCTTTCTTTCTTTCTTTCTTTCTTTTTTTAGATTTTATTTATTCATTTGAGAGAGAGAGAGAGACAAAGCAAGAGTAGGGGTAGGGGGGCTGGGTGGACTCCCTGCTGAGTCCAGAACCCAACTAGGGGCTTGATCCCAGGACCCCTGAATATCATGACCTGAGCCGAAGTCAGACACCTAATTGACTGAGCCACCCAGGCACCCTCCCCTCACCCCTCATCTTTAGACTGTCTCCTCCAGTTCAGCTCAGATCTTATTAGTGAGGCCTCCTCTTTTCATCCTGCCTCCCTAAATAAAGCTATAAGCCCCAGTCAAAAAGTCAATAGCAATGTTTTTTTGGTTACATTGCTTTTGTTTTTAGCTTCCTTACTGAGTTGCAGAGCCCCTCCCTACCTCACAGGGGCCTGGTGCTGACCTTCCACACCTAACATGGAGCACTCTAGGATCCTGCTTACCTCACAGAGCTGAATTCTCACAACCATTGCCTTCTACCAAACTAGGAACCCAGCACCATACTGGAATGGTGACATAATCTTTATATTTAAGATTGGCTATGTATTTCTCTCTCTCTTTTGATTTTCAACTCTGATTAGTCTTTAGTTGGAGTGGTGGTTGGGGAGAGGGGATATCTGAGCATGATTCACTGTGCCACCTTCCATACTCCCAAGTGATCAAAAGTTTTATTCTATCATATGCAAATCTTGGCAATTTTCTCTCCTCCTTTTCAAACTTTGTAACTTTCATCCCATTTTATTGTCTTGTTTCCCTGGCTAGGACTAGACCTTCCAGTACAATATTTCATAGAAGCACTGATAACAAGTATTCTCATTTTTTCCCAGTTCTAAATGGAATGCTTCTAACATTTCATCCCAAGTATGGTCATTGCAATAGATTCTTGGTAGATACTTTTTCTTAAGAAGTGTTGGTTATTAAATTCTACTGTGCTTTTTCCTTCTACATCTATTAAGAGGAGCATATGGGCTTTTTTTTTCTTTAATTTTTTATATGTGAATTACATTAATACATCTTCTAATGTTAAGCCATCTTTTCATTCATTGGATTAAACCCTGCTTGGCCATGATGTGTGTTTCATTCTTGTTATCTTTGATGGGCTTAAATTTGCTGATAATTTATTCAGGGTTTTTATGTCTGTGTTAAATAGTGAAATTGGCCTTTCCTTTCTCCTGTCCTTGACCAGTTTTGATATCCTGGCTATTATCATAGAATGAATTTAGATTCTCCAGAACAGTAATAAGAATTGAAGGATTGGTAGAATTTTTCTGTAAAACTGTCCAGCCTGCTAGAGTTTTTTGATAAATAGATTGAAAACTATGGTTTCAATTCCCTAATGCTACAGTTTTAACATTTGACTTTCCATTTTTTCTTTCTTAAGTTTCAGTAAGGTAAATTTTCCTAGGAAATTGCCCATTTTCTAGGAAAATATTTGTATTTTGAACTTTTGGGTGGGTATAAATCTGTTCTTTTATGGTTTTAAAAATCTACAGTATATTTTAAAACTATATTGTTTACTTGTGACTTCCTTCTTTTTTTTCTTACTCTGTCTTATCAAAAGTACATCTAGTTTATTATTTTTTTCAAAGAACTTGCTTTTCATGTTTATTGTGTGTGACAGACACTATTCTAGGCAGCACAGTGAGCAAAATGGATAAAAATTTCTGCCTTCTTTGAAAGTATATCCTATTGTAGGGAAATCAAAGAATACACCTAAATAATAAACTAGTGAATTCCATGGGAGATTAGAAGGGGATGATTGCTATAAAAGGAAATAGATCAGGATGAGGAAGATTGAGAGAACTTGGGTGTGGGGCACAGGTAGATGGCAATTTAAACAAGGTAGTTACATTTGACAAGCAAAGACTTGAAGGAGAAGAGAGCGTTAGCCAGGTGGCTGTCTGTGGAAAGACATTCCAGGCAGAAGGGATGGCCAGTGCAAGCACCTTCAGGTGGTCTAAGACTGTGTAGAGGGAAAAGAGCTGGGAGGACACGTGGCCAGAATGGAAAAAGCAATAGTTGGACAGCAAAGTGCTCCCAGAGCCTGTGGCTTAGATCATTCAGGGCTTTAATCCATTGTTAGGACTTCAGATTTCATTCTGAGGGAAATGCCTCAGAGGCATGTTTTGCATAGAAGTGTGACCTTTGACTTAATTTTGGCTTGCTGTTGGCTATCTACTCTGTGTGTCTTCCTGTCTTTCCTCTATGTCTGTATCCAAATTTCCTCTTACAAGGACACCAGTTATACTGGATTAGGACCCATCCTGTTGGCTTCATTTTAACATAATAGCCTCCATAAAGACTCTATCTTGAAATGTAGTCACATTCTGAGGTCCTAAGTGGTTAGGACTTCAACATATGGAGTTATGGGGGCAACTCAGTTTATCTCATAACAATATCCACTTCACCATGGCCTTTAATCTGCTCTAGTTGAGTAACAGTCATATCCTTTTCTGGCATTGTATCTTTAGACATGAAAACTATTCACAGGTTTTGGTTACAGAAGTGATGTCTTTATTAAACTAGTCTGAATATTGCACTAGCTGATTTATAATAAATGCTTGTAAGCCCCTAGTTCTTTCTTCCTCTCAAGAACACTTTTCTTCCAAGAACAGATGAACTCACCTTGGTGATCTTTCTTGTTTTTCTTTTTGTTTTTTTCCTCCAGGAGATGCACCTCCTACCCCACAGACAAAGTGCACTGACTTCCAGAATGCTAATCTTCTCCAAGGCACCAATCTCAAAGTCCAGTTTCTCCTCTTCACCCCTTTGGAACCCAGCTGTGGGCAGCTAGTGCAGGAAAGTAGTGACATCCAAAACTCTGGGTTTAATGCCACTCTGGGAACCAAACTAATCATCCATGGATTCAGGTGGGAGTAATCAGCCAATAGAAACATCTCAGCTAAAAACTAGAGAGTGACCACATGCCATAGGAAGTTAGTGGGGAGCAAGAGGAGAAATGAATTTAATGACAGTCCCATGTTTCATCTCTCACCTCCTGTTGCCTTTGAAGGTATTTCAGATCAACATGAGCACACACTGCATTGTTTATTCTTGTTGGTCATGTGCATTACTCCTCTGCTCAGTCTTGTCCAAACGCACTCAAACACTAAATATGTATAACCCTGGGCAAATTGCCCTGGCACATAGAGCCTTGGTTTCCACATCTGAATAAAAGGGAAGTTGTAGAGATGGTCTCAGTGATCCTTTTCTCCCTGAAGCATGGGTTAGATGATTCATCTCAGCCAATGAGGTCAGAGGCTTTGTGCAATTGGGGTAACAGCATGGTGTTTTTTATCCAGGAGTTTATTTCCTCTTCTTCATTTCTTCCCTGGTTTCATGATTTAAGAAACTTCTACTCATTGGTGCTACTTCCATCATCTCCTGAGGTTAACCTTTCTCAGATGCTAAGTGCTTCTCTTCTTCAATTTCTTTGATGCCCTACAGTCCAAACTTTGTTATAATACTGAGTCTCAATTCAACCACCATCCTTCCTTCCAACAGCTTCTCTCTAGAGCCCATCAACAAGGCCAGAAACAGAAGAAGGTTGGTGGGAGGAAAGAGGGAGAATGCAGTGAAATAGTAGCAATATAGAGCAACTAGAGATGGAGGTGTCTGAGGAAGAGGTGAACACAAAGGCACTGCACAAAGGATCACCATTTCATGGTCTCTGGGTTCTCTCTGCTTCTCAAATCCCTGGACTCCAGGGACCCAGCCACATCTCTCCTTAGGCATTCTTCTTCGCTCTTGTGCTAAAGTATCTCCTCTAGCAAATCTTATATTCAACCACTATCCAAGGCTGGGTGTGTATCCCCAACCCAGAGATAGCTAAAAGAGCTGGAGAGCTCAGCAGGCTGTTACTGTGTCTGCTCTTAGATCCCCTGAATCTACATTTTATGGCACACACCTATTTGTGCTCCTCTGCCCACAGGAGCATGCTCTTACTGTTCCCTTGCTGTGGGCCATTGAGAAAACTTCTCCCAATTTTAATCTCTTGGGAAAGTTTTACGAAATTTTTTCTATCACTCTCCTTTTCCTAGAAAAGCCCTATTACACTGTAAGTTCCAGAAGAATAGAAAATGTATCTCGTTTTTCTTTATTTCTCACAAAGCACATAGCATACTGCCTGGCTCATTGAATTAATGAAAGGATGACCAAATGGACAAGTAAATAAAAACATCCCTCAAGGAGAGTGCTTATATTATAGAATGAGAATTAAGATTGCAAAGCATAACTCTAAGGTACAAAGTTACCTTTTTTCCCCTATGATTAATGCCTGACTGAGGGTTGTTTGGAGTTGAAATCCAACCTAAGTTCTGAGCCCTGGCATGAGGCTGCATCTACCTGGAACAAAAGGTACCCTTTAACAATTTACGCAAAGGTTCCATACACATAGGCAGAAGCCCTGGTGACTTTGGGATTGCACTCTTCCTATGCTCAAAGTGGTATATGATTTATTGCCCATATACTCCTCTTATTTGTTTCCACCTTTTTTCTCCCTGGGTTTGTTCTGTTAATAGAGAGTGGCATTGTAATTTCCATGACAATGGACATTGGCCTGGGAGATAATTTTCCTATCCTTTCTTGGCCCTGTCTAGGGCCTTAGGTACAAAGCCTTCCTGGATTGATACATTCATTGGCACCCTTCTCCGGGCAGCAAATGCTAATGTGATTGCTGTGGACTGGGTTTATGGCTCTACGGGTGTCTACTTCTCAGCCGTGGAAAATGTGGTTAAGCTGGGACTTGAGATCTCCCGTTTCCTCAGTAAACTCCTGGTAGGTGTTAAAGAGCTTGGTGTGAGTTTTGACTGGGAGGAGAAAGGGGACCCAAAGAAAGAGTCAACACATGAATGGGAGCTTCAGGGCGGTAGCAGAGCCACCAGTAGCTTGTGGGTCTTCCCTTCCAAGCTCAACTTTACCACTTACAGTGTTGACTTTGGGCAAGCTGTTGACCCTCTCTGAGCCTCCTGCTTCTCCTCTGTAAAATGTGCCACTCATGTCAGATAGGGAGTCTCTCAAGAAGGAGTGGCCATGGTCATTGCTCACACACTTTGGGCACCAAAGAGAAAGTGAGGCAGTCCTCAAGGTGGGGTGTCTAGGAAGAGGGCAAGTGATGAATGGGATGAATTCTGACTTTTTACCCCAAAGCATATGTGGGGCATGTGTCATGCCCAGAGCCCTTTAACTCTGAAGCTTCAGGGAAAAGTGTGATCCTGTGGGTCCAGAAGTCTGCTGTGGCCCAAATGCAATTCACTGTAAATGCCCCATTCTAGGTGCTGGGTGTGCCAGAGTCTTCGATCCACATCATTGGTGTTAGCCTTGGGGCCCACGTTGGGGGCATGGTGGGACATTTCTACAAAGGCCAGTTAGGCCGGATCACAGGTAACATTCTTGCCCATTCTCCCAAGTTTGGAGATAGAGAGAGAATGCCCAGGAAATGCCTCTGTTGAGGCAAGCAGAAGGGATCTTTGTTCTTATGATTATCTACTTCTGCTAAAATCTGAGGCCCTATGATCTCTAAAGTCAGTTATTACCTAATATTACCTAATATTACTCTAATGCCTCAGTTATTACCTCTGTAAAATGAGTTGTAATAGCTCATTTCTCCTTGGCCGACTATGGAAATCACCTTTAGACAATTATGCTAAATACTTACAAAAGCACTAGGGACTTTATGCTTCAGAAGCTACCCTCAACCAATAAAGGACTAGAGTTGTGTGGTAAATACCCTTACCTTCTGACCCTTCAGTGGGACAATTCTGAGTCATGTACTACAGAGCCTCTCAGAAGGGTCCCAGTGGGATGAGAACAAGTCACTCAAAGTGATAATCCATCCGTTAATTTTTTTTATACTCTGACTCATTTTTCTACTCCCTCACTATACTTCCTGTGATCAACTCCCAAATAAGCTACTTGTGCTTGAAATCCTTGTCTCAGGGTCTCCCTGTGTTGTTATGAAGACTAGCACAAGACCTGACACATAGTAACTGCTCAAAAAATTATAGCAGTTGTGATGAGTACATGTGGATTAAAATTACTTACATTAGCCCTTACCAAATGGTTGATGTTATCAAGCTTATTCCAGAGCCAGGGAAGCTGGGTCATTGAGAATCGGAGAGAACAGCGTGGGGTTTCCTGGGTACGATGGTCTTCTTGCCCTTGGGTCCTGAATACAGTTTACTCTTGTCCTTGGGTCCTTGCTGGGGGACTCTAAGAGCTGACCAGGAAGGGCTGCCCTGAGAGATATGTGGCGGATCCATGAGGGTTCCTGTAGCTGAGAGGAACAGGGCCCCTGACATCAATCTGTCCCAGCAGGCCTGGACCCTGCTGGACCGGAGTATACCAGAGCCAGCCTGGAGGAACGCCTGGACCCTGGAGACGCCCTCTTCGTGGAGGCCATCCACACAGACACTGACAGTGAGGGGAGGCTGACCTTCCTGGGGTGGGAGGACTGAGCACGGCAGGGACTAGGAGGCTGGCATCTATCTGTGTCACCCTGGGCAGCTTCCCCCCTTCCTGAGCTTCTGTTGCAATGAGGAGCTTATCAGTGTCATCTTGATCTCTGATTACTACTAAACCTTGTGATGAGGCTGTGCGGGGAGGGCATTGCTGCTGGGCTGGTAAATGGGAAAGTCACACTGCTTTTTCAGGGTGAATGTGGCCGGCCCCATGGGACTGGGACATTCCACTTCTAGGGCAGATCCTCAGGCCTGTCAGGATTTCCCTCCTCCCCAGGGAGGATCCCAGCCCTTCAGTGCAGTGAAGAATGAGAAACCTCCTCTCCAACAATGACAGGCATCGGAAAGACCCTCAACCCTAAATCTATTATGGCCAAATTAAGCTATTCTGACCATTGGGAAAGAGGATGGGCATTCCTCCTCATTTCTACTCTTTATGAAATGCTCAGGAGTCAGCCAGGCCTTGTGCTCAGCCTGGTGGGTACAAGAAGAAATAATGCCTATCCCCCACCAGAAGAGTGTGCAGTTCAAGTGACAGGTGTCTATGTCTCATTCTTTTTTATCAGAAGCCTTCTTTTAGCATCCAACACTCAGATTTATAATTCTGGAAGAAACCCAAGCAGTCACATTATTCAACCCTCTTTCTGACTTTCATCATCTCACAGACAGGAAAGCAAAGCCCACAGGCCTCCACCTAGCTGTTGGGTTAACCATGTTAATTATCAAGGTTAACCTCTTCTGTTTCTAAATTTGCTGAATAGGGGACTTATTAGGTCCCCATTTACCAGAGCTAGGCCTCGCAGTCCCCTTCAGAGTTGGAGCTTCCTCCTAGTGTGACCAGAGGGGAAAAAAGTATTCCTTTTGTCTAACTAATTTTTACTGAGCTATGCAGTCAGCCCGGAGAATACTGCAATGCACACGGCATTGAAGAAGGTCCCTGCCCACGTGGAAATATAGGCTTCATTGAGCCGGCATTCATTCATTACTCCCTTCAATAAATATTAGGCACACACATGTGACAGGCATGGTGCTGGTATTGGGGCTACAGCAGAGAAAAAGACAGGTAATGTCCCTGCTGTAAATTGCAGAGCTTACGGACAAGGAAGCAGACATAATTACACCCTGTGAGCATGATGATGGAGGATGTGGGGCAGAGGGTGGGGGTGGGGACCTCTTCAGGTAAGGTTATTGAGCGAAGTCTGCTCAAGGAGGTGATATCTGAGGTGATATTATGCGGGTCAGAATGAGCCAGCCCTGGGAAGCGCTAGGAGAACTTTCGAGGTAGAGAGAACAAGATGCCGTTGGGGACAGGAAAGCCAACCACGTGGCTACAGGACAGGGAGTGAGGCTGGAGCGGGGCAGGCTGGCCAAGGTGAGGAGCTGACAGCAAGAACAGAGAGGCATTAGGAGTTCCTGTAAAGATTACTGTGGCTGATGTGCAGAGAGTCAGCTCCAGGGGACACTAAGGGAGGTTGGAGGCTCATTAGAGGGTGTTTGCAGTAGTGGTGTGGGCGAGAGGTGGTGGTGGCTTGCACAGAGGTGGGCGCAGGAGAGACGGAGAGAAGTAGAAAGATTCAAAGTATATTTTGGAGGTAGAGCTGACCAGACAGGTGATGGGCTAAGTGTAGGGAGTGAGGGAAAGGAATGAAGCAAGGATGGCTTCTAGGTCTTTGCCTAACCCTTGGATCGATGCCATTAAACAAGTAACATACGACCAATCGCTTGCAGTAGCGATGGATGTGGGAAGGGGAAAGATGTTATGAAGGGGAAAGTTGGGGTCTTTGGTAACTAGCTGCCTCTGACCCAGTCTGAGAGGTCAGATATGGTCACGTGATGCGATGAGGGCGATAGTCTCAAACTAACCAGGTCATATTTTTGCTCAGTCAAGACAGCACAAAAATATGAGGGACACTGTGGAAATGTGGCTCCAAATATATATATATATATATATATATATATTCTATTGCTCAAAATAAAATAAACGCTTGCTTGACAAGGAAGTTTACCCAGCTTATGACATTTAGTGATCTATAAGAACTTATATTAAGGGATATTTTTCCTGATTTTGTTAGACAAATATGAATATCTTCTCATGGCGTTATTCTTCTTGGCTTCCTTTCAGTGTAGATAAACGCCTGTAGAAAACTGAGGGCATGTTCTGCAGTGTCACAGCACTTAAGGGTGAGGTGGGCACAGAGTGTGGGGGGCGGCTCTCAAAGTTAGAGTTCAGGCTTTGCTGCCAGGGGACCCTGCGTTGGGGCCTAGAAAACATGCCCCTGCAATAAGAAATAATGGGGTTTTGCCTTCTTTCAGATTTGGGTATCCGGATTCCTGTTGGACATGTGGACTACTTTGTCAATGGAGGCCAAGACCAACCTGGCTGTCCCACCTTCATTCACGCAGGTCAGAAAGCCAGAAAGGGTTGGTATTTGGCTGCCCCAGAGGCTGGAATTCACCAACAGTTTTCATGTTGAGTCAGCCAGTGTGGGCCACAGGAGGTCTTCCTTCTAGTGTCCTTTACTATGCCCCGTAAGACCTCTCGCAGCACTTATTGAATGGATGTCTATAGGAACCAGGGGAATTCTGGGGGAAGAGTGCCTGAAATTGAAAGCTTGCACCATACTTTTGCTGGTCTCCCCACTTCTTAGGTCCTACAGTGTATATCATCACTCCAGCCAATATTCTGTTCTTCCTGGGCCCCACTTTGTGGTATGGTCCACACTAGCTACATCTCCTGCAGAGCCTAGCTGTGACAGGAGTAGAATGATACACCCAAAGGTGGCTACCTGAAGGATCAATTCACTGATGACCATTTCCCCAAACTTACTAAATTTGACAGTTCTCCAAAATTGTTTTCAAGATAATCGTCTTGAGTACATTCAATGAATATACATTTCTTCTTTTCTAAATACACTATTCATCCTTGACCAACATGAGTGTGAACTGCACAGGTCCACTTGTACATGGATTTTTTTTATAAACACAATATAGTACTATAAATGTATTTTCTCTTCCTTATGGTTTTTAACATTTTCTTTTCTCCAGCTTACTTTACTGTAAGAATATGGTGTATAATATATATATATAACATGCAAGATACGTGTTAATCAACTGTTTATGTTATCAGTAAGGCTTCAAGTCAACAGTAGGCTATTAATAATTAAGTTTCGGGAGAATGAAAAGCTATACATGAATTCTCAACTGCATGGGAGGTGGGGTGCCCCAACACCCCTGTTGTTCAAGGGTCAATTATATTCTTCTGGAATGCTCTTTTGTTTTTTAAGATCTTATTTATTTATTCATGAGAGACAGAGAGAGAGGCAGAGACATAGGTAGAGGGAGAAGCAGGCTCCCTGTGGGGATCCTGCTGCGGGACTCAATCTCTAGACCCCAGGATCATGCCCTGAGCCCAAGTCAGATGCTCAACCACTGAGCCACCCAGGTGCTGGTGGAATGCTCTTTTTGAATACATTCTTCTTAGCATTATCTTAAATAACATTAAATTTGTCAAAAGCTAAGGATCAAGGGTTGTTTAGTCTTTTTATAGTCTTCTTATGAATATAGGCAACCTATCAGCATTTCTTTTTTTTTCTTAGATTTTATTTATTTATTCATGAGAGACACACACACACACACAGAGAGAGAGAGAGAGAGAGAGAGAGAGAGAGAGAGAGGCAGAGACACAGGTGGAGGGAGAAGCAGGCTCCATGTAGGGAGCCCGACGTGGGACTCGATCTCAAGTCTCTAGGATCAACCCTGGGCTGAAGGCAGCGCTAAACTGTCCTATCAGCATTTCTTATGAGAATTTTATCCTGATTTGTTTACTACGTTTTTAGTCTTTTCCTGCTTTACCAAATTTTTTAACGTTTTAAGGATTCTTTTAACAATGTTATTGAATAACCCCTAATCTGATTTACCAAACTTAGTGATTTTCAAAAACATGTTTATTTTTATAATTTATAGATTTCCTAGCATTTTTTATCAGATGGGATAGTTTGGTTTTATGACCTTTGTATATATTTCTGTGGCATTTTAGTTGGCCCTTTTCATTTTTCCTCATAACACAATTGTAAGAAGGGTTTAGCTTGTGTTCCCCAGCTCCCTATTGCAGCTGGAAGGAGCTTGCCCATAAAGAGTGTCCCAACCATGGGGGAAGGCAAGTTAACACAGGCTTAGATTTGGTTGCTGGTCCCAGAATAGGGGGTGGTGGTCCCAAGATGAAGGGAGAATGTGAAGACCCCAGAACCCTAAAGTGATGGCTCACCATAGACCTCTTAGCCCAGCAATTCATCCAGTGTGAGTTACTTCAAATTTTTATACAGTAAACAATAACAAGAAGACAAGTTTTTTTATTAAATTGGGACATTTGGCAAATTCAGTGTATCAGTCATTTGGCCAGGTAAACTCGGAAGCACACTGACTTTCAGATTTACCATGAACTGCGGCTGACTCCCTTGATCATCTCATTGCTAGGCTGAGTATCATGAGGTTGTAAAAAGTTTGATTGTGTAGGTGACTATGAAGAAGCTAAAATGTGCAGGCAGATATTCATTGTAAGAAGTTGGTCAGGATCACCAAATCCCCGTAAGCTCCCATTTTCCAAAAGAGCGTTTGCATGATTATGAAAGATGGGTCTCAATTTAAGTAATTTTTTTGATAGACTGAGCTTAGGTATCTCAGGAAAATTAAAAAGAAGAGGGAGAACGTAGTAACCATTTCCATTAACATTTTAAAATGTGGTTCAGGAGACATCCTGCTGGAATTTAAATTTTATAGCCTGCTGGAATATAAAATTCAATAGAATTACAATGAGTAGCATGGAGGGGTTTTCATTTGTCTTAAACTAAAACCATGGTTATATTTTTCCCCTGTTCAGGCTACAGTTACCTGATCTGTGATCACATGAGGGCTGTGTACCTCTACATCAGTGCCCTGGAGAATTCCTGTCCACTGATGGCCTTTCCTTGTGCCACCTACAAGGCCTTTCTTGCTGGACAATGTCTGGATTGTTTTAACCCTTTTCTGCTCTCCTGTCCAAGAATTGGTAAATGCCACCCCTTTGGCAATTTGGGGCAAGTTCAAGTCTTGCTAGTTGTCACCTCTGTAAGTCCTGATTTCCTATGGTCAAGAAGTCTATCCAACTGGATAAGGAAATTCACTGATCAGATGCTCAGCCTATTTCCATCTGGAAGATGGCATATGGCCTTCTGTGTCCCTCCCCTCACCCTCTATACTGCTGCCTGATGCCATACTTGCTCTGCACACACTCTTCACACACAGCCCCTCATCTGCAAGCCCAGACTCAGGACCTGTTGGAAACATTGGAATAGCCCAGAGCTGCTGCCCTCACTCCAAGACCAGATGCTTGCTATAGGTCTTTCTAGCTAGGCCAGCCATTCTCCAAGTCCTGATAGACTGTAAACCAAGGCTTTGTGAGGAATCCCCAAGAATGGTGTACATGACCCTCTTTAGAGGTGTGAGGCTGTGGCAACCATGCACCAACTAGAGGGCTGCCTCCTTGCTGGTTGGCTTGGGCACATTTCTGGAGGATCCAGGCCAGCCTGGGAGAAGGGCTTGGGAAAGGCTAAGGGATCTGGCCTCAACTCACCATGTGCTGGTCATTGCTAAGAACATCCTAGGGTTCTCCAAGATGGATTTCAGGAAGAACTCTGGGAAATATAAATGGTTCCTTCCTCTCTCTCATTCTCACTCCCCATCCCTGGTTGCCACTCAGAACTGCAGCAACCTGTCATTCCTTATATGAATGAAATGGATATCAGCTTGACAAAATGTTAAAGTAGATGTAGTTTCCCACAATAAAGCAAATCAACATTACTTCCTACTCAGGGGGCATATGCCACAGTTTCCCCCAATGTGATGGTCCTGCTGGTATAAACAGCCACCTCACACTATCCGCCAGCGTCACCTCTCACTTCACTTTGCCTGGCACTGAACACCAGGATGCTAACTACTTGTACTTCCAAGAATATTTCATGTTTCCTCACCCTGTGTGCCTTTGTCCAAACCATATTCTCTGCTTGGAATGCCTTTCCCTAACTTGTCAACCACTATTCTTCAGGTCAAATGCTTCCCTGTGCTTTGTCTGCAAAGGATATAAAAAGCCATTAAAACAACTGTCTTATAGATTGTTTTGCAAATTGGAGACATAATTTCAAATTTCTGATAAATACCTCCTGGAATGGGCCCAATGATCTGAAGAATGTGTGTCCTGTTTACTTGTATGTTTATCCTTGGCTGGACTGGGCATGGCATGTAATGAGCATACAGCGTAGTTGTTTATAGAATGATCGGGTACATGAATTAATCAATACATGGGTGGGTGCCAAGGGACACTGAAATGGTCTTCTCAGGACTCTGCTGTCTTTGTCTTTGCCTCTCTACTTCCAGGGCTGATGGAACAAAGTGGTATCAAGATAGAGCCGCTTCCCAAGGAAGTGAAAGTCTACCTCCTGACCACTTCCAGGGCTCCATATTGTGGTGAGTTGGGGGAAACATGTGTAGCTCAGCTCTGCTAGTATGCTGTCCTGCAGAGTCCAGGGTTTTGATTTGGCCTGTGTCTAGCACAGCATGGTAGCCAAGGTGGGAGGTGAAAGATTGGGGCAAAGATGCTATAGAAGGGGTGGGAGGGTGGGCAGCAGCTAGTCTTAGATCCTGAACTTTCAGAGCTAGTCCAACCCATCGCTCTACTGCAGATGAAGACTTAAGGACATCTTACTCTCCATATATTTATCCTAGTTCCTCCCTCCTTCTCTCCAGCTTGGGACTCTGTAGTATGATATTTGGGAGGACCTTCTGGTTCCCCACTTCTTGCATACTTTTTTACCCCTTCCTTGGTGCCCATCTTATGGGTCAGGATCTCTGAGGAATATTGAACCTTGCCCTCTGCCCTCCTCCCCCTACACATACATATTCCAGTTCTTCACTGTTGTTTCTAACCACTGCATTTCACTGAAGCGAAGATACCAGTAAAAGATGTGAAATGTGAGAGGAGAGTGTGTCTTAGAACCCATGAAATATATCACAGGTTGGAGCATCATCTTTTCCGGTGCTATTTGCATCTTAAGTAGATCGACTATGCTTCCTTTTTGACATTTGTTATCCTGGGATCTAGTCTAGTTTATTGTTTATTGAGTGTATAGGACAAGTATGCTGGTTAAGATGATAAATTGTATGGCCACACTAATTCCGACTGATTTTCTGATCTGCTTGTGTCTGGTTGGTGGAGAGATCTTTTATTTTTTAAAAAAAGATTTTTCTTTTTTAATTATGAGGGACACAGAGAGAGAGGCAGAGACATATGCAGAGGGAAAAGCAGGCTCCCTGAGGGGAGCCCAATGTATGACTAGACCCTGGGACTCCGGGACCATGCCCTGAGCCAAAGGCAGATGTTCAACTGCTGAGCCACCTCGTATCCTGGTGGAGGGATCTTTGTGGCCATTCCTTCCTTGTACCAAACTCCTAGTGCTATGTGATATGGAGCCCAAAGCTCAGATTGTAGTCACACAAACTTGGAGTTGAATCTCAGCTTCTACGCTTACGAGATATGTGATCAGGAGAATCTTACTTAAGTTTTCTGAACCTCTACATCCTTATGTAGAAAATGGGAACAATAACAGTATCTACTTCAAAGAATCAACGTGAGGATAAAATAAAATAGTATACAGGAAGTTGCTAGCACAGGGACTGGAACTTGATAAGAAATAATTCCTTTCCCTTTGTCAATCAGAGAATTGGAGGAGACTAGATGTGGGTCTTTATGATGCTAGAGAGAATTCTTGGCTACCTCCTACGAACAAGTGGGTTTCAAGAGTCAACTGTGGGCTTCTCACATATATCTACTCATTTGACAGCCCAATTCTTGGATTAGGTATGAGGAAGGGGAGGCTCTGAGACACTCAGCCTTGTGCCCAAGGCTACACAGTGGGGTGGGAAAAGTATAATTCAACTCCAGGTCTTGTGACTCCAAAATCTACACCCTTTCATGCCACCACCTGCTTCCACACTGGCTTCTCTGCCTCTGCTTCTGAAAGAGAATCTGTTCTTTACAGCCATATTTCTAGGTTACTCCTCTGTCCTCACTGCCTCCTCCTGAGGTCAGCTGGAAGGAGGATGCTTTGTCCAGTGACAGAGGCAGTGGTGCCAGGACCAGATGTCCAGTTTTACTTCCAGCTCTGGACAGCTTAACAGCAACCTGAACTGGCTCCTCTCTGTCTGCACAGCCAGGAACACACATGGTAGGGAGACTGGGGCACACTTGAAGTTAGAGGCATTTTCAGGTCCCTGCTAAGGCAGGTTCACATAGCCACAGTTTTTGTGACTGTTTCATATTTGTTGTGAGACTCCCTCTTGGTGCCCCAGAAGTATGGCCCTGTCTGTTCACAAACCTCAGAGAGGCACAGAAAGAACCAAGGAGCATAATACCTGTTTGCCTACATGCTCTGAGCCTTGCAGTGCTGAGCCTTTTGTTCTGACCATTGGAGCTGGGATCCTCCTCTACCTGGAGTTCGGGTGGTGCCAGCAGCCTGTAGCAACCTGCTCTTACCCACTCTCAGGCCACCACGGCACTGGGCTCCCATTGCCCAGTTCTCCTGGCCTGCCTGGGCTACAGCAGTGTTCAGCAGGACAGTGGTCACCCTTGACTCCTGCCAGGCATGTACTAGCAGAGCAAAGAATCAATCTTCTCCAAATAATAATTTTTCTGACAATATTACTTTCCCTAGTGTTTCACATGAAGTGTGTTCTCCCCATTACTTCACTAATCCTTGCCATGTTCTGTGAGGTCATGTCAAGGGTTACTGTTTACATATGAAGGGACCAGGACACAGAGAGGTTCAGTAACTTAGGGAGAGGGACACAGCGAGGAAGCAAGGCTGGGCCGTGGATCCAGGTCTCCTGACTAACTGTCCAGGGATCTGTGTGCTGCTTCCCATGTCTTACTCCTGCACTGATTGGATTCCACTCCCAGTTCATGCCCACCCAACATTAGTAGACCTGACTCTCCTGGGGCTTCCAGATAATGAAAGGGGAGAAGCAGAACCTTAGGAAACATACTTGATGAGGTGAGACCTGCCAGCAAAGGAAGAAGTGGTACAATATATCAAAGTCAGCCTAGGGAGTTAAATTCGTAAAGCTTATGCAATTTAGTGTTTTTCCCACATTGCAGTTATCCACTCCCCTTCTGCCCTTGCCCATCACCAGAACAATCTGCACCCCCTAGCAAACAACTGAAAGACAGACAGGAGGGGCATGGCATTGGATGTCTTTCTCTGTGGAGGGGAACCATACCATGCTTTCTTTCCTTCCTGTGGGTTCTTGGTATCTTAGCACCCATCAGTGAGTCTTGTTACCAACCCCATGAGCCCAGATGGATCACAGCACTCTTCTGACTTAATGCTCAGTCTACCTAAGTCCATTCGATGTTCCTCCTATATCTGCCTATTAAATATGACAAATGAAAAAGTACAAGTAGGGTAAGAGGTGAAGGACTGCCTCTCCAGCTGTGTCCCAATCACCAGAGAAGTATGTGAAAATGCCCCAAGACCAAAGATACAGCAAGATGCCACCAGATGGGCCACCCCCTTAATAAGGAAAGGATAGGATGTTCGAGAAGCTGTACTTCTTAACTTCTCTTGCCAAAGAGACAGCAGGTCACAGGGATATCATCATGAGCCAGGCTCCTCATCTAGTCTGTGTCAATGACACGAGCTTTGAAAGCCCCAGGATCCATGCTGCCTGGGAGGGTGGAGATGCCATATAGGCACCCAGGCTGCCACAGAGAGGAAAATAGTCACCTACACACAAGTGGGCTTCCTGAAACTGTGTGTAGGGTGCGGAGTCGAGGAGTATCATTACATTTTATGAGTTAATTATTTAGTATAAGAGACATGCTTTTCTTTCAGAATCACTACACCAACACAATGTCATCAAGCAGAGAGGAGTGGGACATTTTAGTGTTATAAGTAATAACAAGAACTAACATGCATTGAATGCTTCCTAGCCACAGGCATTGTCTACGGAATTTCCAGTATTAACTCATTTAACTCTCATTCAGACCTATTTTTATTATCCCCAGTTGGAAGCTAAGGATTTGGGGGACGGCAGGTAACCTGCTACTAAGAGGTAGATCTCAGATTCCTGCACTGCTGCTCTCTGGGGCTTTGTGGGCAGTTTGCACCGCTGACCTCTGGCCCAGGCATCTGCTCTGCTTCGGTTTCCCAGTGCATCACAGCCTGGTGGAGTTTTACTTGCAGGAGCCAAGGAACAAGGATACCTTCATCTCAGTCACCTTCCTTAGCAGCAACGTTACCTCCCAGGTCAAGATCACCATGTACGTAAGTGTCCCGCATCACACGCACACACATCTCCCACAACAGGCACTGTGTGATCACTAATGGGTGGCCCAAGCCTGCTGGGCTGGAGGTGGAGGTGAGGGCAGGACCTGCTGCAGATGCACCCACAGGCACATGCTGGGCAACTGTCCCAGGTTCATGATCAGTACTGGATCCAAGGGTAGTTTATTTAGACAACAGCAGATGAGGCGGGTGAGCCGAAGATATGGGGTGTCTCAACAGGTGGTGAGAACATGAGAACCTAGATAGGAAACATGAGTCAGGAATCCAGGAAGGGGGCATCAGGAATGTCAGCAAGCAGGAAGACCTCATCACTGGCCAGGGAGGCCTGACCAGAGCCTGGGAAGCACCTACTCCTGGAAAGTGGGGCCAGTACTAGGTGAGTTATTAGAAATGAATCACAGGCAAAGGGGCTAGTTAGCAAATGAGTACAAGGTGAGGCCAGCAGGGCTTGATGCCATGTGGTGCTAATATCTAGAAGCAGGCTGAGCATTCCTTCCCTTCTGGGGTCACATTTGGGCCTAGCATCTGGCAGGACCAGGCTTGAGGTGGGAAGATAGAGAACTTCAACTATAGGAAGGCTCAAGCCTGGCAGAGGATAGGAACAGCAGCAGAGGTGCATGTTTCTTTACAAAGCAATTGGTGAGTTACTCGCAAGCCAGCAGGAGCCGGTCTAATCAAAGAAGTCACTGTCTCAGCAAGCAGGGTCCCATCCAGAAACCAGAGCCCAAACTGGGAGTCCAACAGAAGATATTTAACCCAAGGAACTAATTACAAATATGTCCAGAGAGCTGAAAAGCCAAAAGGAGGCGGGGGGACAATGCAGAAATCAGCAACAGGGGGCAATCCTCCTGTGGGGTCGGAGGAACAAGGCCAGGTGATGTTGGTAGTGTGTCAGCAGGATCCACCGAGGTGGCTGTTTGGTGGGAGCTGGAAGCAGGCAAGAAATATAGCCCCTCTGAAAAAAAAAAAAAAAAGAAAGAAATATAGCCCCTCTGGAATCACAGCCCAAAGTGGTCTCGCCACTAAGTGTGCCTCCTGCAGGTTAGCTCTCACTGGAGTCTGCTGGCAGGGGAAGCTGAGAAGTGTAGTTTGCAGGTGAGCGGATGAAGCACAACCATAGAAATGCATGCTTTTCCACAGTGGCAGATGCCGTGAGGACAAGTAGGTCAGAGCCTGACCAATAGTGAGAAGGTGATGTTTCAGTAGTGATTTGACGGAGTTACCCAGTCCAGGGGTTAGTGAGAATGCAGAGAGGAGGCGGGGGTGGCAGAGGGAGTATGGGGCGGCCGCTCAGAGCCACACTGTGCCAGGTGTTGAAGGACAGCTAGGGATTTTGGGTTTTATCCTGAGAGCAGTTTGGGGAGCCAGTGGGACTTTTAAGGAGGAGAGTGACCAGATCAGAGTGGAATTTGGAAACATTTCTCAGGCTGCAGTGTTAGACATTAATGGTACCGAGAGGAGCACACTTCTGGACTCCCAGACACCCTGGCACTGGTCAGGGCTCCAGCTCACACAGACCACAGAGAGAGGTATGGCAGTCAGGGTCCCAACACGGATCTTCAGGGGCCCATGAGAGTCTTGCAGATTACAGCTGAATGATTTTCATTAGATCAGTTTAAGGTCGTGTTACTTCCACAAGGTGCTTTCATTGCCTCTCCTGCACCTTGAAAGATGAGCCACTACCGGCAGGGGTCAAGACAACCACACAACTGGTCACTGATTAGAATCGCCTGCAGAGTCCTAAACACCACTGACTCTCTAAGCCTCATCCCAGGCCAATTACAGCAGAGACTGGGCACAGCCTCAACCACTACACTTTTAAAAACTCCTTGAGTGACTGGAATGGACATCCACAGTTTCTTCCTTCTCCCAAAAGCAATTTGCATTACTTTTTTGAAGAAGACTCAAGACACAGCTATCTTCAATTCCTTGTTTTATTTTTTCTTCCCCCCCCCCCTTGCAGAATAGAAATTGAAAAAAAGGAGGGGGGTTTATGTGTGGTCTTTCCCTTCTTTGTATAATTTTGTGAAACCCCAGGATTTCCTTCTAATTAGAAAATTTACCCAAACCAAGTCCTTAGGTCACTCACTCCCAGCGTCCTTCATATCCTACTAGTTTGCAAGTCCTTCTATCCATGCAGCTTTCGAAAAAGAAAAATCTTATTTTTCCTCTGAAATATTTTAAAATACTTCTAAACTTAAAAAACAAAAACAAAACAGGAACGGCTCTGGAATACATACAGAATCTTCCTCAAAAGAAAAAAACAAACTCTATGACTAACCTTGGGTTAAAGAGTACACAAAGAAGACATTTTTTCACTCCGCAAAGGCCAGAAAGGAAAGAGAAACCATGTGGCTGAGCCATAACCCCTCTACTTTCGATGACCCCCAACGCTCATGCGTGAAGGCGAAAGCTCCACCCCCTCACTCCTCCTCCTCCAGTCCCCGTTGCTTCTTCCGAGGTGGAGGCCAAAGAGGCCCAGGCAGGGTCCAGGAGGCAAGTGTCTTTCCTGCTCCCCAGGACTTTGCCCACCTTAGTGACTTCCCGGCAGGCCTCCCTGCTCCACACCTGAATCTCCTGTCACCTCCCATGGATGGGTGACTTCATACTCCTCCTTCCATCTTGGGCCAAGAGAGACCTGGATTCTGCTTTTACTCTGGGTCACCTAGGCTGCCTTCAGAGGTGTACCAAGCCTGTGGGTCAAGCTCATGGCTCATGCATGGGAGAGCTGGGGTTTAGATCTAGGGCTGTATGACTCCAAAGCCACATAGTTGGGAAGACACAAAACCTACACAGTACCACACCAGCTCTGTCTGGTTTCAAGATCCATTTTTTTTTGTTTTGTTTTTTCCCATTCACACATTCATACTCAGTATAAAATACAAAAGTCCACACAAAATTTATGGAACTGAAAGCCCTGAAAGAGGGCTCTACTTCCAGTAGGTAGATCTGAAAGTGAAGATTTTCTCCAGTTAGGAATCTAAGAACAGGGACATTTTTCCAGATATGAAAATCCAAGAGCTACCATTTTGCTGCCATGTCCACTTGTTTTCTTTAAAAAAAATCAACAACTATTTTCTGAGCCATGTTTAAAGCTGTGAGTATACATGCAGAGGGCCTGGTGAGTGTGATATAAAAGATTGTGGTCCACACCTTCAAGGAGTTCTCTTGTGTGTGAGAGCTAACCAACACTACCTGCAGAGCCCCATAGGAGCCAAGGGGAGGCAAAGGCCAAATGCTCTTGGGTAATTTAATTTACCTCTCCTTTGCAGACCTAGACAGGAATTCCAGGGGAAAGGAGTCATAGCTCATGCCAACCCTCAGTGCCAGATAAACCAAGTGAAACTCAAGTTTCACTCTTCCCACCGAGTTTGGAGAAAAGACCGAACTACCATTGTTGGGAAGTTCTGCACTGCTCCTTTGCCGGTCAATGACAAGTAAGTCTACCTACCCCACCCCACTCTATGCTACCGTGACACACCCATGAGGACCAATCCTGACCTTTGATGTGACATTTGTTGAGGTGCAGTCTCATCACAGCGGTTAAGTTCTTCAATGGAGAAATGACGAAGACCCAGGGTTTTCTTGAATTTCCAGTGGGGCCATCTTGGTTTGGAGGTGTTAGAAAGCCAAAGTGGGTGAGGAATGGCTGGGGTGTGGGTGAGGAACAGAGAGATATGGCACGCACCTTCATCACTCTTTCCACAGCCCAGTACTCCCTGGATTCTTCCATACTTAATCTTTTCAACTCTTTAAAAAATCACTGTAATCATTTTTAAGTGTACAATTCAGTAGCACTAAGCACATCCATACTGTTGTACAATCATTACCACTTTCAATTTCCCATTCCCACTTCAGTATACGATATTTCATTCTTTCCAATCTATAGCTGGATTTTTATATAGAAATATAAAATCTGTTTTATGTATGTCTTACTTAGTTTCTACGTATGATTTTATTGGAACAAGACTTCTCAGTGCACAGCCTCCACTGGTTACATTCACAGGCATGGATCCTCCTGTGCCTCTAGCAGGGTTTTACACTAGTCTTACCAGCCCTGGCAAGAGGAGGACAGGAGTAGTAGACGCCTATAATAGACGATTGTAGACTTCTTGCACCTGACATCATGGAAACACAAGAGCACGTGACTGCTAGCCCTCTCTCCTGACCAATCAGGACCCTGCCCTGAGCTCTACTTTCTTGTTGCTCTTCTTTTGCAGCAAAAAGATGGTCTGCTTACCTGAGCCAGTGAACTTACAAGCAAGTGAGACTGTTTCTTATGACCTGAAAATAATGTGTGTTTAGTATAAACCTGGGCAGGATACATCTCCCTGAATTTCAGAGGAGGGGGGGAGCTATGTTCAACTTATTCTAGGCCATTACTATTAGAAGGAAGGCAAAAACTCTTGGTTGTTTTCCCTATAATTAGCCACTTTAGAGGGGAGAGTTAGCTCATCTAACAGAACTTTGTCTCTATTACCAATTTGAACAGCCTTACAAAAATACCTTTTGAACTTTTCTATTCATATTTAACTGCAATTGCCCCATATCCTTGAACATCTGTATCTAGGATTCAGTAGAAACATTCACAGGAAGAATGCTTTTTTAAAAAAATAAAATATCTGACTGGCTTCATTGTTTTATTGGAATGGAATTCTGTTATGTACAAAAATATGATTGTCTATAGGATTGGAGAAAACAATCCTACAAAAATTGTACAGAAAACAATACAGAATTCTCCGTATTAAAATAGCAATGGGAAAGAAGTTCTTGGAACAAGAGAGGGGAAGGAGGGCAGGCTGGAAGATGGAAGATCCCTTACCATTGCTTCCTCTGGGTAGCTGGAAGATTTTGGGGATCAGAGAGATCTTTGGGGAATATAGGTGGATTTTCTTTGGGTCATTGTTTCCCCAACTTTGTTATAAGTTACCTTGTATCAGCCATAGTCCAGCATGAAATAGATGATGTGCTCAAATTGGGTAAGTTGAGGAGAATTTAATAAAAGGACTGTTTACAAAGGTGTTAGTAGGAAGTGGGAAGACCACAAGGGATAGTGCAGTTCCAGGGAGCCAGGGTCATGGCAGCTGCTACTGGCCTAGGTGTGAAGAGGCAAAGGGAAAGAGCACCAGACTCCTGGGACTGAGAGGGCCTGCCAGGCCTTCAGAAAAGGGTCATGGTCACCTCACCTGCAGCAATCCTGCAGGGAGGAAACAGAGGAAATATATTCTCTGACCTCACTCTTCTCTCTGCCTCATCCCCTGCTAGTGCTCCCCATCGAATGACTCCAACCAGAAGCCAGAAGGCAAGAGGCATGTTGATGTGAGACAGGGCATAGAGCAGGACACAGAAGGGTGGAGAATGGGGAGGTGGGGCTGAGGAACAGAGATCTTCTCCAAGAAGATGTGAGGCACACATCTTCTCCACTCTCTCCACAGCATGGTACTCCCTGGTTCTTCCATACTGAATTGTTTTCTTTGACTCTTAAAAAAATCATTTAAATCATTTTTAAGTGTCCAATTCAGTAGTCTTAAGTACATCCATACTGTTGTGCAACCATTACCACTTTCCATCTCTAGAACTTTTTCAGCTTCTCTAATTGAAACTATGTCCTCGTTAAACAATGGTCCCATCACCTCTCCCTGCAGCCCCTGGTAATCCTACTCTATTTTCTGTCTCTGATTCTAGAACACCTCATACAATCGTATAATATTTTTCCTTTTGTATCTAGCTTATTTCACTTCGCATAATGTCTTTAAGGTTCACTCTGGTTATAGCAAGTATCAAAATTTCCTTCCTTTTCAAGGGTGAATAATATTCCACTGTGTATGTATATATATATATATATATATTTTTTTTTTTTTTTCCGTGCTTTGTTCATTGATTTATCCATCCAGGGACACTTGGGTTGCTCCACATTTTGGCTGTTGTGAATAATGCTGCTATGAACATAGGCATACATATATCTATTCAAGACTTAAAAAAAAAACTAAATAAATGTGTTTTGAAAGAAACTGCTGACTTGCTGACTCACGCTCCACAGTAAAGGCAGGAAAATGATGTAGGCTGCTGGCTGCAACTGCTCCACCTGAGCCAGGTCAACCAGCTCACCAGAATAGAGAACTTGGGCCTTTGTCTAAGTTGCAGAAATGCCACGAAAGGACAGGTGACACATTGGCTTTATGTAGGTGGGGATGTGTGGGGTTCTAAAAAAGGGAGAGGTAACAAAGAACTCTGCTTGACGGCAAGGCAAAAGCATGGGTCTCCCCTCCACACCTACATTGCTCACAACTTCTTTGAAGATCTTTTCATGAACAGAAACTATTACAGAAGCAACTCACTTTAGTAGTCAGCCTGTGTCCTTAAGTGGCACTACAAACATGGTTTCCAGACCCTTCTCCTCTCTGGTCACTCTACCTTGAATATGTTGTTTGTGCCATAATCCCAGGACTGGGCTCGATATTTGAGGCCTTCCTCTCACAGAATATACCAGGAGTGTGTCTTCACATGTTCCTTATTATAATCTTCCAGCAATTCAACCCAAGAGTCACTTCAGGGTAACTGTAGAGTCTTTATTTTTATAGAGTCTATATTCTTATTTTATATTTTTAAAGAGTCTATATTCTTATTGCTCCAGCTTGCTTTCTTTCTTATGGAGTTGATTTTTGAACCTGAATGAACTTTTCATATAACCCAATTCCACTACATATTATTGTTGTAGTCTCTCCAACCTGTCAAGAATTTCTTACATCCTGATTTTATCCTTAAGAATATTTAGTTCTAAAAAAAAAGAATATTTAGTTCTCCCTCCAAGTTTTATGCAATTTTTATGTATTTACTTTACATATATAAATATACCTGCACATTTATATATGACATTTTTATAGACTCCTTTTTTATATCTATAGCCAAGAACTTGAAAGGAGAAGCCAAGAACTTGAAAGGGTAAAGCCCTACCTCTAGAAGTTTCCTTAAGACTAATCAGTACCCTGGGTCTGAGCCTTCATACATATTTCTAAGTCATGTTTATCTTGAGTACTTACATATTATGAGAAAAGTTTCAGTACTTTATATCTACAATGATCCCCTGATTTGAAGGAAAGAGAGAAAAGAGAAATAATATGATTAACTGAATTTTAGCATGACTTAATTCCCTGGGGCCCATGTAGGCTCTCCTACTAATTCCTACTTCATTTCCTAAATATATACAAGCAATGTTTTTAGTGATTTGCTCCTGGACTTTGCTGGTGACACGCCAAACTTTCTAGGAAGCTGTGCTTTCCCTCTTTTTGGTTACTGGAGCAAATGTATCTACCCACCATCTTCTAACTTCTTTTCTTTGGGATTATTCAGTGGTTACTGAACAAAGAGCTCAGTTACCTTACAAAGTCTTTCTAAAGCAAGATTGTGATTTAGGATCTGGGTCCTGGGATTCATTAAAGCTTCTGGGTGATCTCTTTTCAATTTTGGTCTTCAGATTAATTTCCAAAAAAAAAAAAAAAAAACACCTCCTATACATTATTAAATATATTTTTTTAAACTACAGAATCAATAGATGTTCATTTTAACAAGTCAAACTGTAAATATATAGCTACCGTGGCCCTGTGGTAATCAATGTTAATAGCCATATATACATTCTTCTACACATTTCTCCATGTAAATACAAATATATACAAACAAAGCTTTTCTTAAACAAAAATTAAATCATAGCTCACCTATCATAGGCTCTGTAGTTTTTCATTATCATTTAACAACATATCATGACTTCACTCCAATTAGACATAGGTCTAATTTACTCACTTGATGTGTGATAATCCACACTATGGATCTGCTAAAACTCAGTCAACCATTTTCTTTTTGATGGATATTGAGGTTGTTTCAGCTACAAATGATGCCACAAGAGATATTTTTGTACATCTCTCATGTACTGGTACCTCCATTTCTATATGGTAGATTCCTATGTGAGAATTGCTAGGTCAGCAGATATATCAAGAGATGAGTAATGACGGGTTACTTTCCAAAAATATTATACCAATTCACATGATCTCTGACAATGGTTCAAAGAAACTGTCTCTTGAAATTACTTATCCAAGTATTTGTTTTCCTAAGATAAATTACTCAAATCCCCAAATTTCTTCTCTGGAGTTTCCATGTGGTATTCAACTGGTTCCAAGTTGGCTGATCCATACCCATCTGTGAAACTGGAATGACACTTTCCTTCAGAAGTATAGGGGCCTGAGATTTCATTACTTTTTAAAAATGGCATTCATTCAGACACCATCGTCTCTGAGCAGTGAAACCCACTGGGAGGGGAGATCTATAAAGAACTTTTAAAAAATAAAGGCTTACTTTTTTATGATTATAAAATTCAACTCATTTAAAAAATTTCAAAAAAAAAAATTAAAAAAAATAAAAAATTTCACCCAATGCAGAAAGTTAAGAAAGAGAAAGTGAAAAACGAAAACTTCCTGAGCATTTAGTATCTGCCAGGTAGTGGTCTAATTTCTTTATATAAATTATCTCATTGATCCTCCCAGCAATTCCATGTATTACCTCATTTTACATATGAGAACACAGAGGGAGAGGGGAATTTAGCAAGTTGCCTATGATCATGCAGCTAGCAGCGGATGAAATCAGGATTCACACCAAGACGTGTGCCTCCTAAACCTGGGCTCTAACTACTGAGTGAAACACGTTAGCCTGCTCAAATTGGTTTGTAGCACATGCAACCAACTGTCTTACTGAAATAGAAACTTCCTCAGTCTGGCCCCACTCTGCCTAACTAGAATTACCCGCCATGTCCCCAGTGTGCTGAAGCCAGTATCGCCCAAAACATACTGTAGACGATGTCACCTCCTTGCCTTTGTACCTGCTGACCCAACCATCCCCTTCAGAATTTTCCAGGCATTAAAGTTCCACTTCCAGTTCTATCTCTTCTAGTAAGGCTGGCCATCAATATGTCTTTTCAGTCAGTATCTATGCTGCCTTGTGATCGTGGTCAATATTTTCCTGCATGTATGCCAGGCTTATAAAGAGATTATAAGGTCCTTAAAGGCAAGGGCTATGTTTCTCCTTCTCTGGGTCCTCTACATTGTAAGCATGCAATAAAAAGACAATAAATGTCTGCAATAAATGACATGCAAATAAATGACATGCAATAAATGACAATAATAAAATGCATTAAAGACAGCATTCTAATGATGTAGACAAAAGCAAAGGGAGATTAGGCTTAACTGATATGAGAGGCTTAACTCCAACAAGGAGTTGGTGTCTTTTCATCAGTGTCAGAATGGCCTTCATTTATTCACCTTGTTTTAAAATTTTAATTGCCAGTGTTACATTTTAAGCTTTAAAAAGCACTACAGGGGGCACCTGGGTGGTTCAGACAGTTAATATATTCAGTTTGTGCCATAATGCCTTTGGCTCGGGTGGTAATCCCAGGTCATGGGATGGAGCCATTGGTCGGGCTCCCTGCTCGGGGGTGGGGTGGGGTGGGGTGGGGCGTGGGACGTGCTTCTCCCTCTCCCACTCTCCCTGCCCATGCTCTCTCTGTGAAATAAACAAAATATTTTTTAAAACATAAAAATTAAAGTCTCTGCAGGAGTGGGGTGCCTGGCAGGCTCAGTTGGTAGAACATGTGACACTTGACCTTGAGGTTGTGAGTTCAAGCCCCACGTTGGGTGTAGCGATTACTAAAAACGAAAAAAAAATTTTTTTTTAAATCTCTATAAAAGGAAGCTCTGAGTGTACGAAAGGAATTGTACTGAAACATAAATCTTCTCGAATTGCTGAAATCTTACCCAGTCCTGGTTCTCCCTATTCAGTGGTCCTGAGTGACCTCAGAGAGACAGACCCTTCTGTCCCCAGCCTTGAACATACCTCTGACCTCATTTCTGGGCACTCTCAGGCTCTGGGGCAACCATTACAGCCCTACCTTTAGCCCAGAGAGGTTATTTTCTTCCCCTCAGAGGGGAGCCTGGAGGTGATGTGACCATCCCTGTGCCTGAGTTCCTCCATTCCCCCAGGCCCTAAAATTCTCCCTATTCCCAGTATTCACCTTCTCATTTATGAAAATATATCTGTTTGCTTTATGGGACCATTCAGTGTTCTGACAACAGCCCAAACTGAACCCATCCAAAATCAACTCAACATCTCCCCCAAAGTTGTTCCTTCTGTCCTCAACAGTAATAGCCACAACACCATCATCCAACATCCAGGCTTGAAGCTTGAGTCATCTTTGGCTTAGAATACTATAATGCTTTAAAAACACACACACACAAACAGAATCATTATCCTCCTTCCTTCCTCCCAAAACCTTATTTACACTTAGACACTATGTCTCTCAATTTCTTCAAAATGTGTCTGATATTTGTCCCTTCCTCTCTGTTCTCTCAGACATGTGGTAAGACCCTGGATTAGTCAACAAGCCACAGAGGGTCAGAGGAGGAAACCAGAGCCCAGAAAGATGGAGGGAATTGCCTGAAGTACAACAGCCACTAGAGATAAAGCACAACCCGTTTGCATCACACTTACAAACTGCTTAGTAACTTTTTGGAGATTAACAAGGGACAGTGTTTACCTGGAAGTAAATGCCTGCTGCTACCTTGAAGTTCTGGGTCTTTCCCATCTATCCAGGCCTATACCAGTATTAAACAGATTCTTATTTTGGATAGAACCAGAAGGTGGAGAGGTAGAAAGAGATCTAGGTAAATATCCAGGGAAGGAGAGCCCGCTGTGTGAACCCCTCTCTTCACGGCACTGGGGTCAGACTGAATCAAGTGGAAAATGTCCCTTCTCTTTTGCAGTTACCAGCCCTCACAACTGTACAACTTCCGGTGTTCACTTGGCCCTCCTGGTTTGGACTTGAAACTCGGTCCACCCCAAACTCACGATCACTCCTTTTCACTCTCAGGCCAGGTTTCATTTCCAGAGCTGCCCTCTGTTGTATTTCTTCTCCGGAGAGTACAAGGAAATGGGCAAAACTGGAGACAAGTGATCATAAAACCAGAATGTTCTTTCATTCGTTCATTCATTCACTTATTTGGCAAACCTTTTTTATAAGCTTACTATGTGCCAGGCATGGTTTTCAGTTTCATTCAACTCCTACAACAACATATCAGAGTTGTTTTTTTTTTTTTTTTTTATTGCCATTTTACATATGGGCAAGCTAGGATGCAAAGCAGTTATGTAACCAGGCAATGAAAGTGGCAGCACTGAAATTCATACTGGGATGGTCTAGCTCCAGAACTTTGTTTTCTTAACCCTACACTATGTTGATAGGACATCCTAACTTAATGTCTACTTATGTCATCCCCATCTCCTTCTTGTTTTCTAAACATGATTTACTGGCAACAGCAAGGTGTCTGGCCATGTTGCATTAAAGTGGGTTTAACTGGGTCAGATAAAGTAACATAGCATGGATAGGAGGGTTTACAAAACATGTGTTTATATTTCTGATGAAGAAATGACAGGTGTTAAAATAACTTGAGAACTAACAAAGGTGGAAAAGGAGAAGAGAAATAGAAGTATGTGGTAAATAGCGAGGAATAAGGTTACAAGAAACAAAATTCAGGGAAAAGAGAAGAAACCACATTGGAAAAATTAGGAGTGACCAATGTTCTCTCCTCACACATTTCAGGGAGGAGCAGGCAAGCAGTCTGAGCTGTCCACAGGCAGGAGATGGGAAGACAGCAGGCCTGCGCTCCTCTGCTGGGCCTGGAGAAACCAAACAGAAGGCCCTCCTTCCTCAGTCACACATGAGTCAAAGACAAAGTGTCCTAGCTTGAATAGGGGGCAGAAACAAAAGAACACTGGAAAGCGGAACTAGAAGTTTCTAAAATCCTAATCTGACCCACATTGAAATGTTTAGCAGCTGAGTTTAACAAAGATCTAACAATTACCAACTAAATGCCAGGCACATGGCATTGTGTAAGGTGCTGGGACCACGGCAATAAGTAAGAATCTACCCAGCACTCAGGCGCCTGGAAAGGAAGTCTGGAGGGAGATGAGAGCTGAGGGAGCTGGTCCCAAAGGACTCTGTGAATCCTAGAGGAGACAGATTAATGCTGGCAGAGGTGGGGTAGATGGCAGGGAGAGCATGGGAGGAAAGGGGACATTTGTACTAGCTTTGAGGAATGAATAGGATTCAGAGCAGAGGGTGGCTGGGAAGAGGGCAACTCCAGGCCATTGAGCAACTGTCAGTTGGCAGTCGACAGTTGGCAATCATGTGCTGTGCAGGAGAGGACTCTTGGTAGGGATCACGTCAGAGGAGTGAACCAACACTGAAATAGTCTCATGATCTCCAGGGAAATTTCTGAGTGAGAGACGTGTCAGTGTATGAATTCCATGACAAATAGAAGTGAAACCACTGAGAGCATTGTTCACATTTTTCAGTCAAGATTTGTGGGGAAGTCTATAGGAAACCAAGGTGTCAAGAATATATGGGAAAGGAGATGTAGAACCTCTAAGATGGATTTGACTCTTTTCCCAAGCAATTCTCCCCAGGCCATTTCTCGGGTGTCTGCCTCTCTGTTGCCATCACCATCATATGTTCTGGCCCTTGGCACCTCACAACCCCAGTGATCATCTCAATGGCCAACACTCTTCTCCTGGCTTTGTATTCTCAAGTCTCTCAGGACATGAACATTTATTAAACAGCTATACTCACCAGGTTCCGTGTACACACTCAAAACCATCTCCCTCAGCACTGCTCTGGGTGTACCATTTTCCTGCTCACTTCTCATTGCCTTCTGATTGGAGCTCAGACTCCACAAGTAGTGACTAAGAGCTTGGTTCTCTTCCCTAGCTGTGCTTTTCATGTACCTTCCAGCCTTGCATCTTTGACTCACACATTTCCTTCCCCTGGATTGTTTCTGCCTTGCCTAACCCTTGTCTTTGAAGGCACAGCTCAAAGTCAGAAATAGGAAGTTATATCTTCTGCTGAACTTCTGTAGGTCATACAGTGGTTTCAAACACTCGCGTAATGTTTTCCACAAGTGGATTGACATAGTGCTTATTTGTATATACGTCAGGGATCCAGCTACACCTTAAACTATTTATGGGCCACAAGAAGCCTATTTATACAGGGACTGAGGAGTCTTCTGGGAAAAGATTAATCCTCAGTGGAGTCAGGCCTTGGTGGGGAAGGGACAGGTGCCTATGATTCATGTTTTTCCTTTGCTAGAGTTCAAGTTCCTTCAGGAAAGATATCATGAATTATTCACCTTTTGAAGTATGTGGTGTCCCACATAGAGTTTGACAGCAAGTGGATATTTAATAAGCATTCATGAGATAAAAGAATATTTACTATTTTCTCCTTAGGGTAAATCTGACTATATGTCAGACTTTATTGCTGAAAATATTAAGCTATACCCCAAAGATTTTTTCACAAGTGTGGACCTCTAGTGAGGGGTTAGTGTAGGAGGTTCACAAATCCATATCATGTCAAGAATTTTCCATAGACTGAGTAAATAAAATGCTTTATATCTACATGTCATGCTACATTTCAAATACATAAAGATACCATTGTTGTTAATTTTAAAAATCCACAAATTTATCTAAAAACCTTATAAGAATCCAGATATCTTTTGCCATTACATATACCCTTAGATAATAAAAGCACAACTTCTACCATATAAAGTCTGTTCCTTTTAAAAACAAATATACACACATTCAAAGGGGTTTGCATCCACTTTTGGTATATATCACATGTGTGTAACAATAGACTTACTTAGGCGGTCCTGTAGCTTGAGGGCTGGCACTATGTCCCAGGTACAGTTCAGTCTCAATTTAAAATGTATGAGCTTTTTGTTGATGTTTATTGCTTCATTTATTCTCCACAACAGCCCTCAAGGGTTGACAAGAGAGCTATTGAATTTCTCAAAATTGACAGGGGAGAAGTACATTGTAAAATATATAGGGAAGAGACAGAAATAAAACAAGAAAAGAAATACACAGTGTCATTTCAGAAAAAAAGAGAAAATAACACACTGAACAGTCCTATCAAATGCATAATTGGAATACCAAAAAGAGAGGAAAGAGGAAATAAGACTGAAGAAGGTTCGAGCAGGACAAAGGGACGATGGTGATGGTGAGGTGAGTGGATATCTTAGCTGAGATGGTGACAGAGGCTGAGAACAGAATGGCCAGAAGAAGTCAGCCAGGAGAAGTTATGAGTGAAAAGGATTTCAGAGAGAAAACACAACTGTAAGTGCCCAGAAGAATAAGACTCACCAATCAAGCCTTTTGCTTCCCCACATTTCCCAGTCTCTTTAATCAACAAAGCCCAAAGCTGATTATTAAGTGGATCCCCGTGACTACCTTTAGTGGGTCCATATGACTACCTTTAGCCAATGGGCTCTGGCCAGATGTGATTTGTATCCTTTCTTGGCTACAGCATCAAAAAGCTAGCACCGGAATGTCAAACTGTTTCTTTCTTCAGGTGACAGAGCCAGAAGGTCAAAGTAGATTGAGTCACTGAGTTGCAACATGATAACAGTTGCCATCATGAATCATGCAGACTCTCAGTAAACTTTAAGAGAGAAATAAACCCTTGTGCTATTAAGTCATCATAAGCTGATCCTGACTAATATCACATAGTAAGAAGTTTGGGTTTTATTCTAAATATAACAGGAAGCCATTTGAAATTTTGAGCAAGAGAGTGATGAGATCATATACATGTTTAAGTGACCACTTTGCTGTGTGTATAGTAGATTATGGGGAGGGGAAACAGGAGAGAGCACAGGGCCAGTTGTAAGCCTCTTGAAGTTAACCTAGGTATGAAATAATAGTAGCTTGAAATTAGTGGTCACAGTAAAGGTGAATTAAATTCAGGATATGTTTTGAAGATAAAAAGAAAATGGATGGAAAGACTGCAAGGTTTAGTGCATGGGCACCTGAGTGAAAAGACAACAGAAGAGAAGGTAAGGTGGGTGGGGTGGTACTCAAGAGTTATAAAACTGTTTGGCTTGAAGATCTCTTCCAAAGAAGAGGAAAGAAGAGAGAGAGAATACTTCCTAACTCCTTTTACAAAGACAGCATAACCCTGATATCAAACCTGACAATGATATTGCAAAATACATAGATGTAAAATTCCAAAAAAAGAAATTTGTAAACTAAGTTCAGAAATAGGCAAAGAGGAAAATACAACATAATAAACTTGGATTTGCTCCAGGATGCAAGGTTGTTCCAATATTCATATATCTATTAATATAATTCATTAACAAAATAAGGGAGAAAAATAACCTCAATAAATGCAGAAAATCATCTAATGCAATTCAATTTTCATCCATGATTTAAAATTAAGAATAGAACTTCTTTAATCTGAGAGGGGTATTATAAAAACCTAATAACACACATCATACTTAATGGTGAAATACTGAAAACATTTTCCCTAAGTCAAGTATGAAAGAAGGATGTCTTCATTATCCCTTCTATCCATCCCTGTCCTGGAAGTCCTACCCAGCACAATAAGCATCAAAGGATAAAGAAGGAGAGAGAGGAGGGGTGGGGAAGATATAGATTTGGAAGGAAGAAATAAAACCATCATTATTTACAGATAATATATTTGAATCTATGGAAAATCCTGAAGACTATGGATTAATGATTAGAATCAGTAAGTGAATTTATCAAAATCACTGGATGGAATTTGAAGATACAAAGATCAACTATGTTTCTATATGCTAGCAATAAAAAAATCAGAAAGTAAAAAAATGTTAAATGGTAGCATTTACAATAGTATCACATTCAACAAATACCTAGAAATAAATCTAACAAAAGTTGTACAAGGATATCTCCATGGAAAGCTACAGAACACTACTGAAAGAAAATAAAGAGGATCAAAATAAATAAAGCGCTATACTCTGTTCATGGTTTGAAAGTTAATATCATAGAGCTATCAATTATTTGTCAATATGATTCACAGGGTGAATGTAATTCTGATAAAAAAAAAAAACCCAGCAGAGTTTATATTTTTGTGGAGATTAACAAACTGATCCTAAAGTTTTTATGGAAATACAAAGGGAAGAGCCAAGAATAACAAAGATTTGAAGAACAAAGTTTGAAGACCACCAGATACCAAAACTTATTATAAAGTTACAATAATTACAACCAAGTCGTATTGCCTACGGTGGACGAACAGGCTGATGGAACAGAAGATCCGGAAACAGACCATACAGATATACGAAGATTTGGTTTATGACAAGGGAGACACTGGATAGTAGTGAGGATAGGATAATTACTTCAGTAAATAGTGCTCAGTCTATTGGATATCTACTAGAAAATAAATAATTTAATCCTTACTTCATACTATACACAAAAATCAAATCCAGATTGTCTGTAGATCTAACTGTGAAATGTAAAACAATAGAATATCTAGAAGGTAAAATAGAAGGATATCTTCAGAGGAGGAAAAGATTTCTTAAATATAACACAGAAAGGACTAATGACAGAGAAAAAGATTGATAAATTACTACATTAAAATTAAGAACATATGTCCAGGGGCACCTGGGTGGCTCAGTCAGTTAAGTGTCTGACTGGAGATTTCAGCTCAGGTCATGATCTCACGGGTTGTAGGATGGAGCCCCGAGTTGGGATCCATGCTCAGTGGAAAATCTGCTCAAAATTCTCTCTGTCTGCCCCTCTTCCCACTCATGCTCACTCTCTCTCTCAAATAAATAAAACAAACTTTAAAAAAAAAGAACATATGTTCATCAAAAGACACAATTTAAAGAAAAAAGAGAAAATTCACGAAGTGGGAGAGAATATATTTGAATATATATAAGCAATGAAGGACTTTTAACTTGAATATTTAAAGAAATTTTTTTTTTTTAGAAGCAGGCTCCCTGCAGGGAGTCTGATGTGGAACTCGATCCCAGGACCCCGGGATCATGCCCTGAGCTGAAGGCAGACGCTTAACCACTGAGCCACCCAGGTGCCTCTTAAAGAATTTTTTTAAGTTGATAGGCAAAAGCATACAAATAGTGAAATGGGCAAGAACAATTATAGACTTGACAATATCTATGAAAACATGAAAAGGTACTCAACTTACTACTCTTCAGGCAAATGAAAATTAAAACCACAGTGGTATGCTGCTACATACACCCAGATGGCTAAACTATTTTTTTAAATGACCATGTCAGCAATTGGGAGGATGAGAAGCATCTAGAACTCTCATATACTGCTGGTGGAAATATGAATTAATACAATCACTTAGAGAACCGTTTGATGGTATTTACTGTAGTCGAACATACACGTACCCAATACTTGAGTAATTTCAGTCCTACATATACCCCAGAAATGTACACTTGTGTGTTCCAAGAAATGCATTCAGGAATGCTGATGCCAGTACTATTCATAATCACCCCAAGCTGGAAAGCACTCCATGCCCATTAGCAGAATGGATAAATAAATTATGATATATTCATGCAACAATAATCACGACAGCAATTTTGCAAACAGCAAAACAAATGAACAAACCATTGAGAGAGAGAGAGAGAGAGAGAGAGAGAGAGAGAGAGATATGCCCGAGGACTCCCAGCTGTTTCAGTCCTCAGCTGTTTGAGTGTCTCCAGACTCCGCCCCACACACGAGTGAAGAAGGCTTGGAGAGGACTCTAGCTCGAGCCATTATCTGCACACGACAGCATGAGAGACCGTGAGTGAGAACAACCCAGCTGGGCTCACTCAAGCCCCACATGTATCAGAAAAATAAACTACTGCAGGTTACCATTTCAGGTATGAATATTACATGACAATAGATAACTGCAATATGTGTTGAAGTATTTAGGGAAAAAGTAAAATAGAACGTGTTAAATTTATAAATCCACTTTAAAATATTTAAGGAAATTTAATTGACTGAGTTTGTTCAAGTCCCCCTAAAAACTACTGTTTAATGCTAGGGTCCTGAACAGAACCAGAGATTTGGAAGTTGAACTTGAAAGCTTAAGGGAAAACTAGGTTTTAAAATATCCACTTCTATAAATTGAATCTAACTGGGAAAAAACAAGCAAACTTCTTGGCTAGTTGACTACAGAGACCCTTTCAGACAGTTCAAAGAAACCACATGGGAAAAAAAAAAAAAAACAACTGAGTGATTTATTGAGTGGTTACTCAGTGTCACACCATGTCTGAGGTGTGTTACCTAAGTCAGCTCATTCGATGCTCACAACCACCCCGTGGGATGGTTTCATAAATCCCAAGTTTACGGCGAGGCTCAGAGAGCCTATGTAACTTGCCCAAAATTCTGCAGTTAGTGGAGGATGGAATCAGTGCTTTTGCACTTTGGGGTGCCTTCTCCTGGAAGGACAGCTGGTGAAGGTAAATTTCCACAAGTTGCTTGGGGCCCTTGGTGTAGCTGTAGTGCCAGAGTCTTCTGTGTCTCCTCCGACCTGGCCAGTGGGCCTTCCAGTGGGTAAGACCGGGTGTGCACTCCAGTGACTCTCCTGCGAGGATTAGTATGGCCAGAGAAAAAGATAGTCCATGGATCCTTAAAGTTCGGGAGTGTGGGTTGGAGCCAAGAGGCCTGTCCCCTGGACATAGCTTGAGAATAGCTGTGGAGAGGACTTCTAGAAGCTGTGGGAAAAAAAAGAGGAAGGATTTCAGTGCTGTGTCTCCAGGTAGCTTGCCTAACTCCGCAGAGTTCTTTACAGTTTTATTTTTATTTTATTTATTTATTTATTTATTTATTTATTTATTTATTTATTTATTTATTTATCTATCTATCTATCTATCTATTTACTTACTTACTTACTTACTTAGTCATTCATGAGAGACAGAGAGAGAGAGGTAGAGACATAGGCAGAGGGAGAAGCAGAAGCAGGCTCCTCACAGGGAACCCGACATGGGACTGGATGCTCAGACCTGGGATCACACCCTGAGCCCAAGGTAGATGCCAACCACTGAGCCACCCAGGCGTCCCCCAATTTTATCTTCTTCTGCTAATTCCCAACGTGTTAGTTGCACCCAATGCCTGCCACGGTAGGGCCAGTCGTATCTTTGAATCATTTCATGCTAGAGTATTAGGATAAACCAGCTTTGAAGTTATTTAGTCCAACCTCTCGTTTTACAAGGGAAGAGGCCAAAAAATCCACGCCTGGGACTTCCTTTTTTTTTTTTTTTTTTTTAAGATTTTATTTATTTATTCATGAGGGACACAGAGAAAGAGGCAGAGGGAGAAGCAGGATCCCCACAGGGAGCCTGATGCGGGACTCGATCCCAGGACCCCCGGGATCATAACCTGAGCCAAAGGCAACACTCCACCGCTGAGTCACCCAGGTGCCCCTCCTGGGGCCTCCTATTGAAGAATCTATGGAACTCAACTTCCTGTCCAGCACTACCGAATGAGTTGCCAAAAAATCTGTACCACAAAATGATGAGTTTAATAAGGCCCCTGTCTTTTATTTTTACAAAGAGGGGGTAGGTAAATGAGGCCTGTAGAACACAAGTAGGAGAGCAACGAGCGGGCATGGGTGGCAGGCGGCTGGGCTCCAGAGGCCCGGGAGGGAGCGGCTGCCTCAGCTGAGCGGACCCAGGACAGGGCCTTGGCAGGCAGTGGTGCCACCACCCAGGGAACCTGAGGCCCCGGGGCAGCTCCTGCCAGGCCACCGTCAAGGGCACGTTTTCTGCTCCAGGAGTCTTTCCAGGGGTCCTGTGAGAAGAGTTGTAACCAAACTGCCAGCTACAAATGGACGTCAGAGCCCCCAGAGAGACACACAGAGCGTGGTGGGTAGAGTGTGAACGGAGTGAACGGAGTGTGAAACTGTTGTCTCCTCTGAGCCAATAAAGGACACAAGGTGAGGGACTGGCCAGTTCTTGGGTCCTTGGGGACTGAGGAGCTTGTCACGTGTGTTTTCTTTGGGTCACCACCTTTTTGCTGACCCTTTTGTTCTTAGGGGCCTCTGCCACTTGCTGCCTCCCCTGGAAAGCCAGACTGGGGGAAATAAGAGGGAAAATCATGGGACGCCTGGGTGACTCAGCGGTTGAGCGTCTGCCTTTGGCTCAGGGCCTGATCCTGGAGACCTGGGATCGAGTCCCACATCGGGCTCCCTGCACAGAGCCTGCTTCTCCCTCTCTTTCTCTCTCTCTCTCTCTCTCTCTCTCTCTCTCTGTGTGTGTGTGTGTGTGTGTTTATTTATCATAAATAAATAAATAGGATCTTAAAAAAAAAAAGGAAGGAAAATCATGTACCTCTGACAGAGGGAGAGGGAGATTGCCAAACCATTCCACACACAATAGGATATTGAAATTCCTTACACATCCATCCAGCACTTTACAGATTACAAACTACCTTTATATTTGTTATCTCAACTACTCCTCACAGCAACCTGCCAAGGGAGACAGAGGCTACCTGTCTACCTATGAGTAGGTATGAATTTTCTATGAGACCATTAGTCCCATTCTGCAGATGAGAAACTGCTCCTTATGGTGGTTAAGCGACAGAACCAGAGTCTGACCTCGGAAGCACGGAATCATAGCATCACAGAGTTAGAAGGCACCTTCACAGCAGTAACCCAGGGCATCCTTCTCTCAGAGCCTGAATCACCTTATAAGGTCTCTGAGATTTCCTCTTCTTCTTGCTTGGCGTCTTCCAATGGTGAGAAACTCACAATTCTTTGAGGCAACCCATTATTAACACTGAGCAAAGCCCTTCTCCTTGTAACATTCAGCTCTTAAGTCATCTCTGCCCTTGAGAACTGTACTAAAGGAAGGCAAATTCTAATTCCCCCTCTTTTTGAAATTTGGTGTCATCACTTTTGCTCATCTCTTCCAGGTTAAATACCTGCAGTTCTTTCTCCTGTTACTCATGATGGTTCATGATGTAGTTACTGGGTACAGTGCCTGAAATATATAGTGGATACTCAAATGTCTGTTGAATTGGTTCTCTGGCCCTTGGTCCTGTGCTCCTTCCCTGACCACAAATAGCCCCCATGTTGTAATCTGTTTCTCGTTTGTTTATTTAAATAATAGGGAAGAAGACACCATCATATGGTTTCTACTTTCGAATCACAGAGTTTTCAGAATAATTTGAAAACATAATCAAAACTGGCCAGATTTCAAATAGCTTTTAATTAATTTGGGCTAACAAGACTTGTTCTCTGACTTAATTGCTCATTAGAGAGTTGCATTCACTGAGCGTCTCCTGTACATAAGACGCCACATGGAGCACTGTGGAGAGTGTCCACGTAATTAAAACCTGTAGTGGAGGCCGGGTTAATGTGAGGTCTGACTGGAAGACCCTGCAGGAGTGTATCATGCAGCAGTGCTGTTTTGCCCATTAAAAGAAGCAGCATTCAATTCTGGGCACCACCAGATGAAAAGCCAGGCTCTGTCTTCCAAAGACAGTTCTAGTGGAAGCCCTGACTATTTTTAGCTGGTCTCGGTGTGAGAAACAAGCACCCGTGTCAAAGTGCTGAAGCTGTGTCATTCTCAATGAGGCAGGATGCAGCCAGTTTCGTGCCTCTTACATAAGCGCTGTGCCAGGACGAACAGCAAACAATCCTGGTAACTCAAGAGCCAGGGAACAGAGGGTGAGTCGTGCCCTGTGTGTATAAAGGAAACCAGAGTCAATGGCTCCCACTGCAAGGGACTATGCTTACTCATTAAAGTAATAACCCTAGAAGGGTTTTGATGGCAAATAAGTCAAACCAAGCACCCAAATACACAATTCTAGACAAGGCTCTCTGGTTTAAATTATCCCATTATCACAGACTGGATTGAAAGCCATTTGAAATTTGTACAACTTGATCAGGTTTTCAAGTCGTTCCCAAAACTCTGTGGTTTGGAAGTATATGTTTTTCCCTTTCTATTACCTAAATAATCAAATGTTTAAAAACTACTCTCTTTATATCGCCAGTGCTAATACTTTAGAAATGGAGTGATATTAGCTCTTTTCTCCCCTTGAGGTTCACAAAAAGCTGCATTTGCAAAGGGGTATTTCATATGATAGTCTTAAGGGCAGAGGAGCTTCGAGATTGAGTGGTGACCTCCCTTCACAAAGAACATCTGCTCTGTCATCACATGGGCGGTGATAGAATCTTGACAGGTACAGCATGGAGGGGACTTCGAGTCAAGTAGGACCCTCCATTCAGCAAGGAGGAGGACAGCCCTGAGTCAAAAGAGAAATTATAGCAAAATATGGCAGATGGTTCTTGCTGGAGGACACTTGGATGCCCTGGAGCCTGCGCCCATAATACTACTGACTGTGCTTTTTCTTTTCCTCTTCAGAACAACTCATCCATTGCCTTCTTACATAAACCCAAGGAGACCTTTGGGGGCCAGTTGGTCCAACACACTCAAACGAAGAAAGTGAGATTTGGCGAGGTTGTGTGGTTTGCAAAAAAATAGCAGACCCAGATGTAGAAGGCAGGACTGCAGCACCCAGTCTGGCCCTCTTTCTTGTTTATCATGCTGCCTCCTGATGTCTGGGAAGATTCACACAGTGAATGTGTAGCTGCCCACAGCTGGGCGTTTTCACCCCTTCACTTGAGTGGTTTTATCTACAGGTGGAGGGAGAGGTACCGATCTCAGAAGAGTATGGGTTAAAGACCGAGGTGGGGGTGCAGGGTAGTTTAGGAGGGAGAATAGACAGAGCGAGGCAGGAAAGTGGGGATAAAAAGGAAAAGAAGGTACTAGAGCAATACATGAACAATAAAATGGGGGACGTGTAAGGAACAAATACAGAGAGGAGAAATTGCCTGAGAAGAAGAAGAAAAGGACTTTTTTTCTAATTATGAGCAGCAAACTGAGGCAGCCCAGGACCGAACAGAAGTCAGAAAGAGGGAAGAAAGAAGAGCAAATGGAACCAGGGAAAGAGAAGGAAACAGGGAGAATGTGAGAACCCCAGGAGCTGCGTGGGCTGAGTGTGTACAAGCAGGTAGGCTGTACGGAGATGGGGTCCGCGGCGTGAAACCCGTAAGTGTGGATGGGGGGCCTAGTGGGACGGGGGGAAGGGCGCCATCAGAGTGGCCGGTGCAAACGGGGGAACTCAGCACGTGATCGCAGGTCCTGGGTAGATCCATGGAATTAGTCCAGAAGCCCCCCAACTCTGCTTCTAGGGACCCGGGGACTATAGGAGATGACAGATTGCGAGTCTATAAACCAAGCCATCTCACCTCTTATCACTCGCCTCCCCTGCCACTGTCGTCATTTACACGACTTGTTTGACAAAATCTACAGACATTCACTCGTTCACCTCGTGTCCCTGGAAACCTTCCTCACTGGGCTAGCTTCTTGAAAGGTGTGTCAGCACTTCCCAAAGGACCATGGGTCCCTTAGGCCCCTGTGCCACACACGCACTTGGAATCGCCTCCCCAGTTGGCAACGGTGGGTGGGATTTTCCTCAGGAAAAGCCAGGCCCCACCATGGCTGGGTGGAGTCCCAGAGGAGAAGGTCACAGCACTGTGAGAGCAACCAGGGGGAAGGTGAGAGCAGTTTCCCAGAACTACTCAGTACAGCCTTTCTAGGACATTCTCCTGAGCTGTGAGGGAAATCCTGCCCTTCCTTTTTATGTTTTTTAACTTTTTTTAAAAAGATCTTATTTATTTATTTATTCATGAGAGACACAGAGACAGAGAGAGAGAGGCAGAGACACAGGCAGAGGGAGAAGCAGGCTCCATGCAGGGAGCCCCATGTGGGACTCGACCCCAGGACCCCAGGATCACCCCCTGGGCTGAAGGCAGCTGCTCAACTCTTGAGCCACGCAGGGCTCCCAGATCCTGCCTGCCCTTCCTGTTAGGCCCTCCCACATGGTGCCCATCCACCTCACACAGGTGTGTGGTTTGTGGGGGGAAAACCAGGCGGCCGTGTGACCCGTATGATCAGAGTGACCAAGGAGCACCCAGTCCTCTGGCTGAACAAGAAGCGTACTCTCCACTGGGCAAGAGGACAGTAAGGTGGGCGATTTGCCTCCCGGGGTCATCAGCCTGTATCACAAGCCCCTTAGAAAGATATGATTTTAACAGAGATTGTTGCCAATCCCAGCTACAGAGCGGCTGCTTTCCAGAAGCTACCTTTAGGCTCGGAAAAAACTGAACCCATAGGAGTTAGAACCGTGTGAGCTTTCTTCCCCTTTAGACCCAGGCCACAAACGGACTCCCCTTGAGCCCTAGCGAGCTAGGCCTTGACTGCTCACACACTGGCGACCAATTTAGTGACCATTTGCTTGCTCAACATGTCACCCAGCCCCCTTTCCAAAGTGCGAGGACACTTAATAAAAAAGGCGTTTTTAAAAGGATCCCCCTCATGCCTTGCATGCACCTGGAGGGAGCTCCCCCCGCAAGGTTGGGTTAGGCCACCAAGGGGACGGGCTTCACGTCGGGGTTTTGCCCTTGCAATGGGAGGCCTCTGAGGGGCCGGGCTCCATGTAGGGGTTTTGCCCTGGCAATGGGAGGCCTCTGAAGGGACAGGCTCCATGTGAGGGCTTTGCCCTTGCAATGGGAGGCCTCTGAGGGGCTGGGCTCCATGTGAGGGTTTTGTCCTGGCAATGGGAGGCCTCTGAGGGGACAGGCTCCACGTAGGGGTTTTGCCCTGGCAATGGAAGGCCTCTGAGGGGACAGGCTCTACTGGGGGTTTTGCCCTTGCAATGGGAGGCCTCTGAGGGGACAGGCTCCACGGGGGGTTTTGTCCTTGCAGTGGGAGGCCTCTATGTAGGGGTTTTGCCCTGGCAATAGGAGGCCTCCACGGAGAGGTTTTGCCCTGGCAATGGGAGGCCTCCACCTAGGGGTTTTGCCCTGGCAATGGGAGGCCTCCACGTAGGGATTTTGCTCTTGCAATGGGAGGCCTCCGGGGGGGACAGGCTCCACTGGGGGTTATGCCCTTGCAATGGGAGGCCTCCACCTAGGGGTTTTGCTCTTGCAATGGGAGGCCTCCCCGAGGGGGCTGCCCTGCAAGGCGGGCTGGGGCCCAGGCGGCCGCTGCCTGCCGAGTACTTACACGGGCTGGCGAGGCCGCGGGGGGCGCCCGGGGGCGGCCCTCACCTCATGTACTCCCCATCACTCCTATAATCCATGAACGATTCTGATCCCGACACCTCCTCAAAATCCTCCAGCACCAGACTGGCGGAGTCCTCCCCCAGAAGGCCGCTGTCGGGCCTGGCCCCGGCGCGGGGCGGGGGCGCGGGCGGGGGCGCGGGCGGGGGCGCTCCGCGGGCCCGGGGCTCCCCGGGGGCCTTCTCGGCCTCGGGCCCGGCGTCGGCGGCCGCGGGCCCCAGCACGTGGTAGAGGCTGGGCAGACGGATGTCAAAGCGCAGCCCGAACTTGGCGAAGAGCTTGTCGTTGAGGGCGTAGAGCTTCTCGGAGATGTCGTAGCCCAGCAGGGCCGAGAAGAGCTGGCAGGTGTACCGCTCTTTGGTCAGAAGAAGGTGGAGGCTTTTCCGCGGCCAGGAGATGTAGCTACAGGGGGTCTCCGCCGTCAGAGTGACCTGAGGGGCCCGGAGGAGAGAGCGGAGGCCTCATTAGCACCCCCTTAGACGCAGGCAGGGGCTCTGCAAACAGCTGCACTTGGGGGGAAGAAGCCGTGGGAGCCGTGCCCTGGCCTGGCCTGGCCTGGAGGGGGTCACATCCTGAAGGGGACCTTGCCCCGAGCCCTGGCTCCAGCCCCCCCCTCATTGGCCTCACTCCCTGGAGCTGCAGCTTCACACCCAGTCTCCTCAGCTCTCAGATTTCTTATTTCTCTCTCTCTCTCTCTCTCTCTTTTTTTTTTTTTTTTGAGATTGCATTGATTTATTCATGAGAGACACAGAGAGAGAGAGAGAGAGAGAGAGAGGCAGAGACACAGGCCGAGGGAGAAGCAGGCTCCATGCTGGGAGCCTGACGTGGGACTCGATCCCTGGGCCCCAGGATCATGCCCTGGGCCAAAGGCAGAGGCTCAACCGCTGAGCCCCCCAGGCGCCCCTCAGCTCTCACATTCTGTGGTCCCAAAGCTGACCCCCTTCAGGGCCGAGGGAGGTTCTGAGTCTGTCATGAGAGAAACGGGGGCGTCCTCCGGCTCTGAAGCTAGGCTGGCATGCTGATGACAGTTTGTTTTGAGAATCAAGAAGGGTAATATATTGCAGGAGGGATTATGGAAGAGTTGGAAAGTGTCTCAGTCAGAGGAGAGCTCCTGACCAGGCATGCCAAGCTTCGTCACCTGGCCTGGAATTCAGGCCCAGGAAGCTGCTCTGGACTCGGCCATGACAATAACCAGGGAGATGTGACGGCTAAAGTCAGAAGAAGGGCGGAGAGGAAGAGGTGCTTTGAAGAGCACAGAGTCGAGGGCGCCCCACTTTCCATTTATTTAGGCACCGAGGGATTTCTGAGCGCTCACTACGCACCCACGATGCAAAGCTAAATTACACTTGTGGGGTAGGTAGGTAATGTGCGCCTGGCATGTAGCAGGTGCTTGATAAACCCTTCTTAAAACAATGATGAGTGGTAAACCTAGTGTTGAACTAGAAACACGCCTAAGATAGTGAAGGAATAGGGTGTAGAATCACACAATTTTTAATAATAGGATTGACCACAGTATTTTTTTAAACTGTTTTAAAAAGATTTTATTTATTTATTTATTTATTTATTTATTTATTTATTTATTTATTTATTTGAGAGAGAGAGCACAAGCAAGGTGGAGGGGGTGGGCAGAGGGAGAGGAAGAAGCAGGCTCCCTGCTGAGCAGGGAGCCTGACACTGGCTTGGACCCCAGGACCCCAAGATCATGACCTGAGGTGAAGTCAGACGGTGAAGAATCGACTGAGCCACCCAGGCGCCCCATGGCCACAATACTTTAAAAATGAGAAGGCCAGGGCAGCCCTGGTGGCGCAGCGGTTTAGCGCCGCCTGCAGCCCAGGGCGTGATCCTGGAGACCCTGGATCGAGTCCCACGTCAGGCTCTCTGTATGATGCCTGCTTCTCCCTCTGCCTGTGTCTCTGCCTCTCTCTCTCTGTCTCTATGAATAAATAAATAAGATCTTTAAAAAAAAATAAAAAATAAAAATGAGAAGGCCAGCAGGGCTCACAATGAAGGTTTGTGAATGGAGACGGTGGAGATGATGGTGAGGGTGACGGCAGCTAACATTTATTAGGAGGTGACTGTGTGCCAGGCCTGGTGTTCAATTCTTCATGTGGATTTTCTAACTAAAGGTCAGGTTGACTTCCAACCGTCCTTTATCAGAGATCTTCCATAGTGCTTTGAATTCCTGCCTCGTGTCCCGGACCCCCACTCCTCTTCCCTCCTCTCTCCTTCTGCAGTACCCCTCGTCCACTTTCTCCGCTCATTTCCTCCCCTCTGCTTCTCGCCCCCTACTCAGTAGCACCGAAGTCAGGCCCCTCAATTACTTCATCAAGGCTGGGATCTGACTTCAAGTTCCAGCCTCCCCCCTTGACCAGCTGTGTGGCATCGGACAAATCACTTAGTCTCTCGGGGCACCCTGCCTCAGGACAAAACCTGCTGAAAGTAATGCTCACAATCTGCCCGTTCCTAGCAGCTCAGCGAGGAGGTGTCACTGGGCGCCGGGCCCCTGCTGCAGGTGCACCTAATAGTAATTCCCAAACAAGAAATCAGAGTCCTGACTCGGAGGTGGATGTACATCAGAGCCACTCTGGACGTAACCAGGGTCCTTGACACCAAACACAAAGACCTTGGGCATGCTTATGAACGTGATCTTAACTTCTTCCGCCTTAGAATAGATCAGAATCCTTTTTCTTCACCCCCCTTCTCTGGCTAGCTACCACCTCATTAGTTTACCCCCTTTCTCAGCAAAACTCCAGGGAAAGAGTTGCCCGTACGTGGTGTCTCCAACTCCTCTCCTCTTGCTATCTCGGAAACCAACAAGGCTTTCCCCCTAGTGGGCCCCACACACTGCTCCTGGTGTGGTCACCGGTGACCTCTAAACTGTGGCGTGATGCCAGTTTTCCTGGTCAATCCTGCTGATTCTCCTTCCTCTATGATACACTTTCTCTTCTTGGCTCGCAGGGTACCCCACTCTCCTGGGACGATCACCTGGCCTCTCCTTGAGGCTTCCTTTGTCCTCCAGCTTCTGCACACTAGAGTATCCCAGGATCGCTCCATTCTAAAACCCTTTCTCTCTCTAAACTCACTCACTCAGCGATCTCATCCGATCCAATGGCTTTCAATATCACCTGTGTGCCAAAACTTCCAAATCTATATCGCAGCCCCACACTGCATCCCTTAATTTTAGACAGATATTCAACTGCCTGGGCAGCATCTCCATTGCAATGTCCAAGATGACACGAATCTAATACAGCCAAACAGGAACTTCCTCTCTTCCCCCCAAACCGATTGGACTTGCAGGCTCCCTTATTTCAGTTGATAGCAGCTCCATCTTTCCACTTGCTCAGACCAAAAGCCTTAGAGGCTTCTTTGGTCCCCTTTCTCTCACGCACACTACATCCAAAGCCTTAGGCAATCCTTTCTGCTCTATTTAAGAAATTTATGCACCAGCCCTACCTGATCTGGTTCCTCGTCCATCTTTGACTTACTCTCCTGCTATTCTCTTCCCTTCCTCTCTCTGTTCCAGCCACACTGGCCTCCTTTCTGCACCTCAAACATGCTAGTCCCTCCTGGCACAGGGCTTTGGCACTGGCTCTTCCTGTCTGATATGCTCTGCCCTCAGCTTCTCAGACCTCACACTGTCACCTCCCCCAGATGTTTGCTCAAGTGTCACCTGCTCAACACAATCTTCTATGCCACCTTCTTTAAAACTGCAACTAGGAGCACCTGGTGGCTCAGTGGTTGAACATCTGCCTTTGGCTCAGGGCGTGTTCCTGGGGTCCTGGGATCAGGTCCTGCATCTGGCTCCCCACAGAGAGCCCGCTTCTCCCTCTGCCTGTGTCTCTCATGAATAAATTAAAATAAAATAAAATAGCAACTAGGCCTTCCTTATACCACTCTATTTTTTTACTAGCCCTCATTATCTTTTAACATATTACTTAATTATTCATTATGCCTATGTCTTATTTTTTATCTCCTCTACTAGAATGCGAATTGAACAAAGGCAGGGAACTTCCTCTGTACTGTTCACTGATACGTCCCAAGCATCTTTAACAGTGCCTGGTATATAATAAACACTCAGTAAACATTACTTGAATGAATGAATGAATGAATGAATGAATGAGTCAAGTAAAGACTACAGATCTTACATGCTGCAAAACAACTGACTGTCACTTTCTCAGGTCCTCTATAAAATTCTTCCTCAAAGGTCTTCAGGAAACCTGCGTATTGCCTGGTTCCCACATATAGACGCATATGTCTATAGTAAAGTATTGACAACCTTTCTCTCTAATTCTCATTTCAGAGGCTGGTGAAATGGATTAAATGATGTAACATATGGAAAGAGGACTTGGGTCCAGTAAGGCACAGGGTAAATTGGAGACATCATGATGATTTCTGTGTGATGCTTCCTCTGCTATGTTCCCGGTGACTAAGGAGAGAGCCTCAGTACTGAATACTCCATAAATTCTTACTTAATTGGATCGCTGAGAGGTATGATGGAACATTGATTCATTGGTGGTAAACACGATGAGAATTAAGATTCAGACAGTCACTGTGGATTGTCCTATTAGTTCTCAAAGACTGTAATCGCAAAAGGCAAGGACAGAGTGAACCTGACATTTACAAAGAGGAAATGAGACTTTATACAGCCAATAGCGAACGTGTGGATCTCATTGCTCCCAAGGGAGGTGCTCACTAAAAATATAAATGGGAGGACTATGACAGTAGCTACATTCCAGGCTGAGAGGCCATCTGGGGTTATAGCCCCTTCTTTTAAGCAGAGCTTAGAGGAGGACACCCGGCTTATCCACCACCTGTTCCTTGGCGTCAGTGTCAGAAACAGAGCCTGGTCTGGCTGGCTCAGGACCTGACTCGGCCCTCCTAGAGGTTATTAGGGGCCTGAAAGAGTTCTCATAGAGAACTGCTGGGCTGGTTTGAGAGGGTGGGTGCATGTTCGGAGTAAGAGGAACATGATCAGTGGAGGGCAATGGCTGGTAGCCCAGCAGTGGGATCGGGATTGCCTCGCAGGGTCTGTCCTCATAGAGCCGGGAGTTAGGGTGGAGCAGAAACAGGCCCGGCCAGGTGGCCCAGCCATGTGTCTATTCTGGGGTTAGCTCATATGCTAGCTTGAGGGACTCCCCCAATAGAAGCAGTAGAAATCACATGGAACCCAGTACTAGCAAACTATCTGGACAGGGGAGTCCCTGTAACGGTGTGTGTGTGTGTGTGTGTGTGTGTGTGTGTGTGTGTGTGTGTGTACTCCACTCTACTGGTGACCTGCTCATTTTAAAAAAGAACAGAACAGAAATAGTAGAGCCAGACAACTTCACTTTGCCACTTTCTAGCTGAAGACCTTGGGCCAAGTGCTTGATGTTTCAGAGCCTAAATTTCCTTATCTGTTAAATGAAGTATTAATAATATCCAATCCAGAGGGTTGTTGTGAGAATCAATAAGGCAGTATAATATTTAGTGCCTGACATATACTAACCATTCAGGAAATGAGAGCTACAAAGCAGGGAACCAAGGTTTGAAGGATTGGCAGAGAGAAGAGCAGGGACCAAGCAACCAGGCCCCTGCCTTGGAGCATGTTGGTGAACGCCTCATAGAGTTCTCTGAGACACCAACTGCCCACTGCCAAGCCAGTTCAGCAAACCCTTATTGAACACCTACTGTGTTCAGGGTACTGTCTTTTGGAGCCTGAGAATAGAGAGGAGAGGAAGCCCAGATTTCTACCTCAAAGGCTTGGGAAAGGAAACCAGGGCATCAGAGCAGAGAGCAATCTGTGCACCAGTCAGCAGAAGTAAAAGGAATGGGAAGCCACACAGCCAGGAGCACGAAGCTGTGGGAATAGAGGCTGATGAGGTCAATCTGGGCAGGCTTCAGAGGAAGTAAGATGCCACTGCCTCATTTAGATGGGGGAAGTGCATTTCAGATAGAAGTCCGGTAGGGCCCAGCCATGGCCAGTGCAAAGACAATTGGGATGTGTTTAGGGAAGTGCTGGGGGTTCCATTCCGTGTACCTGGTATGAACAAAAACTGTGAAGGAGGAAGAGGTTGGAGATGTGGCTGGATATCACTAACGGTCTTAGGTTACTCTCTAAGGAGTGTGGGTTTTTATTTGGTGGTTGCTGGGGTCACTGGGGTCTTCTGGATATGCTGCGCCTATTAGGGTTAGTCCCTCCCTGCCCCAGCCCACCTCTGCCAGCAGCCCAGGCACTCTTTCCCCAGAAAGAGAGCACTCCCACCACCAGCATCACACAGGCAGCTGTTTCAAAGAACAGACGTGAGTGGGGAAAGTGGAGGGGGGCATATTATTGGGTGGCAGTGCCGCCCCAGGCTCCATATTACCTGAAATACTCCCTCCTCAGAGGGTTGCAGCGATTCCCACTCGGGAGAGTCCATGAACTGGTAAGGAAAGATGTAGTGCAGGAACTGCCCGTCCTGGCTCACACGAACCCTGGCAAAAGGAGAGAAGAGACCATGTGGAAAGAGGGAAGTGGCTACCCAAATCCTCTTCAGTCTAAATTCCATATTTTAAAATGGAAAATGATGGGATCCCTGGGTGGCTCAGTGGTTTAGCGCCTGCCTTTGGCCCAGAGCGTGATCCTGGAGTCCCGGGATCGAGTCCCACGTTGGGCTCCCTGCATGGAGCCTGCTTCTCCCTCTGCCTGTGTCTCTGCCTCTCTCTCTGTCTCTCTCATGAATAAATAAATAAAATCTTTTAATAAAATAAAATGGAAAATTATTAGGATCCAATAAGGGCTTTTCCCTCCTCCCCCCAGAAAACTCAGTTTCAGCTTCAACCTCTCTCAAGGGTTGAGTTATACAGGAAAGGAGGTGTCTCTGCCAAACAAAGGGAGGCAGATAAAAAGATCTCAGAGGCACACTCAGTCCATTGGGAAGGAGCTATTGTTCCTTTTTTTTTCTTTTCCTGGAGCTTTACTGAGTAAATAAATATGCATGGAGTACCTCCCGTGTTCCTGGAGGTCTAGAAAAACAGAGTTGGGTATGATCTGATCCTTGCCTTTAAGGATTTCACAATTTAGTGGAAATCACAGGCATGTACATAACTGGCTGTAAGTCAATGTGTGCTGTTGTGGAACAGGAGACTAGAGGAGGGACAGAGCTTGGCTCCCTTCGAGTGGCAGATTTCTCAAAGATGACATGAGCTGACTTTTGAAAAACGAATAGGATGTTGGGAAACCGATAAGGATGGGCATAGATGGAGAGCTGGGAAATGCAGTATGGTCACCTGTCTACCCATAGCTGCTCTTCCTCTTCGTTCACGGTACTAGAGTTTTGGGAGGGCTTGCAGCTGCGTGGCTAGACTGCATTTCCCTGTGGCCCCTGCAGCTAGGTATAGCCACGTGAAAAAGCTCTGGCCAAATGGAGTATTAGCCTCCAAATCTGGCTCCTGATGACTACATGCATGCATACAAATTACCAGAGACCATCACCGATTAATAAGCTATTGCCTTTTATCTGACAACCTAAAGATGGAAGACAGAAGGGGATGTGGCTCTCATGCTAAGCCAAGGATGTGTCAGCCCATGGTCTCTGATGGCAGAAGCAAGCTTGCTCCTACAAGACCAGGTAACATATAGAGGTAGCCGCCAGCACTTCCCTGAGTAATTAAAGGGCACAAGAGAAAATTAAGTGCCGTGCTTCTCCTACCTCAAGGTCTCCACATCGTCTGTCCCTCTAGCTAGACCTCGTCCCAATCTCCACTTTCTCCTCAGGTCTCAGCTTAAATGTTCCTTCTTCCAGGAAGTTTCGTCTGACTTCCCCCAAAAAAGTTAGCTCCCCCAGGTACATGCTGTCAGGACACTTGGTATTTCTCCTTGGAAATATGTCTTCGATCCACCACTATGTCAAACATTAATTATTGATTTTCTTGACAGACAGTGGGAACAGTATTTTTCATATTTTAAAAAATCACTGAATCCTTAGTCCCTTTCACTTTTAATAAATATATTTGGAAGGAGATCCCTGGGTGGCTCAGCAGTTGAGTGCCTGCCTTCGGCCCAGAGCGTGACCCTGGAGTCTTGGGATTGAGTCCCACATTGGGTTCCCTGCATGGAACCTGCTTCTCCCTCTGCCTGTGTCTCTGCCTCTCTCTTTCTCTCTCTGTATGTCTCTCATGAATAAATACATAAATAATCTTTAAAAATATATATACATATATATATTTGGAAGGGGAGGGGCACCTAGGTGGCTCTGTGGTTGAGCATCTGCCTTCAGCTCAGGATGTGATCCTGGAGTCTGGGGATCGAGTCCTGCCTCAGGCTCCCCAGGGGGAGCCTGCTTCTCCCTCTGCCTGTGTCTCTGCCTCTCTCTGTGTCTCTCATGAATAAATAAGTAAAATCTTTAAAAATATATATTTTTGGAAGGGGAGAAGTGAGAAAGGAAGGTAGGAATGAGGGAGAAAGGGGAGAAGGAAGGAACAATTGAACAGATGAACTCACTTGTGTCACCATAAAAGGGGAGCAACATCTCAAGAAAAAGCTTCTCATACACAGGAAGAGACACGACAAGTGAGAGCGAGGCTGCTGTTGGTTGGATACACTCGCTTCTCGGACAAGGAGTCTGATCACTCCAGCAAACTACTAGGAGTTGACATCATTTAATGTCATCTCTAATGAGCCCACGTGGCTCCCTGAAGCCATTGAAATTGGTATACTGTGCCCTTTATCATGGAAGTCTCTTCTTCCTTCTCGATCCCCTGGACAAGTACTTCCCCCTACATGAAGAGCTTAGTGAGGTGCCGGCTCAGGAGGCTGTGCAAGAGACAATTCTGTATGAGAGAAGCTCACCAACAGTAAGCCCAGCTTAACCGGGTGATAAACTTTGGGGAAGTCACTTGGCCTTTCTGAGTCCTAAGAGGGACTAGTCGCATGTATTAAAACAGGAAGGGCATCTGAGGTTTCAGCAAAGGGCTCCAGATAAGAGTCTGCACATGATAATGGGGAGGTCTGCACCGGAAGCCCCTATCCCTACCCTCACCCCTCCCCCACAGAGCTCTTGTTCACAGCTTGGAGGTGTTTGGTCTATAACCAGCCCAAGCTGCAGTGATTCTCCTTTAAAACTGGAGCCTGGTCATAGACAGGAAGCCTTTTCTCCCAGCTCCAATTGAGCAAAGTTGAGACAAGATGACATTGAAAGATAACAAAACTCTTACTCCAAACCTTGAAAAGCAAGAAAAAAATTGTCTAATTTCTGACTCAGGTTCTGGATGCCAAGTGTAGTAGGAAAAGCCACACTGAGGGGGCAAGCCCCTCTCCCCCATTTACCATGATACAGGTTCATGGTAAATCCATCATATAAAAAAAAGATGGTCGAATCATACAATAGTCGTAATACGCTTCCATAAATGTACACCATACAAATGCTGTGGGCCTTTCTCCCTCCTGACTCAGTGACCTCCTTTGAACAGAGGAGCTCCGAGCAGCACACACCATCCTGGATCTCCTGAATGACAACGTTTCTTAAATTGTCTTTATTTTAAGCATGGCTGTAGGTGGCAAACATTTTGGCAACAGTCATAATGTACTTGTATTTACACATGTATTTATTTACAAGTAATTGCATTTGCTTATACTTCAGTTTATTCATAGATGAAATGAAATGTCTCCCCGCAAAATCTCATGGATCATTCAACCCGGGACTCTGAGTCCAAACAAAATCACATGTACACCTAATACTTTTGATTCTACGCAGCAGTACGACACAAGCGCACACTGTTACTGTTGGTAGCCATTGTAGTTCCATCATTATCATTCCGAAACTTTGTGTTTTCCCACTATGTGGTTGGTACTCTTATCTGGTTCCCCCCCGCCGGCCCCCCGCCACCCCCTTGAATCAGAGCCCTCTGATAAGATTACTATCTTTTCTATCACCTTCTCCTGGTCTCAAAAAAGCAGGGAAGGAAACTGAGGACAAAACTCTCAAAATACTTTGCTTGCTTTTCACAGAAGCAGCCCAAGTGTATCAGGTTAAGTAATTTAATGTTGGATGCTCAGCCCCACATGTAAGTCCCACGAGGGTAATTATTTCAAAGATTCCACAACTGCCTACCAAAGGTACAGCATGGAGCCCCATGGTATTTGTCCAGAAGATGCCAGCCAATGGCCAGCACTCGCGTATAGGCTGATGGCGCATGCTCTAATCCTTACGAAGGCCACTTCTGCTAATTTCTGCTGTCACCCATCCTAAAAGACCACTTCTGCTAATTTCTGCCGTCAGTTAGGTATCTCCACCAAATTCTCAGTGAGACATGTCTGGGCACCACTACTCTTCCCTCACTGTGTGGTCCTCAGATTTATAGTACTTGATCACTGGTCTGGAAGAATCTCAACACAACAAATGGGAATGGAAAAGTGGACAAGGAATATTCTCTCTCTCTCCACCTGGTTGTATACAAAGTGGCTTTCCCACAGAGTTTATATAGGATATCCTCAACATAATTGGGGCTGTTTCCTTGATGCCCTGGCAAGGAACAGGTGCTGTTCCCTTCACATAGTTGGCCCTTAGGAAATCCTGAATCCATATAGAAGGAGAAAACCAGCCTTATTGAAATACTCAATTTGTCAAAGCTCCCCGAGACACTGTGGCAGCTTACGCAATGACCTGCTGGTGCGTGTAATACACGTGTGTGTGCGCTCATTTTAGACCCAGCTTAAGAAACCCCCACCCCACACCTCCCAAGACCAAGTGCACACACAGTCTTTCCTGCCAATGGAGAAGATGCCTCATGATCTTGTTTCCTCTTGGGAAATGCTGAGAAAGAGGAACCAAACCCCTGCTTCGAAAAATCTGTTTCTGTTTGTTTGACTTGCCACATCCGTCCCTCAATGGAAGGGGCCTCAGAATGGAAAGGGACACAGTAGGAAATGAGAAGCATGGGGATGCTGGGCAGCGACAGAGTAGCTTACCGGCCAGAGAGTAGCAGGGACAGGCGGTTGATGGGCGTCTCGCCCTCCACAGCGTACGTCTGCTCGGTGGCCAGAGTCAAGACCCGCTCCTCGCAGCAGCGAACAATCTCCTTGTACACCTGCAGAGGCACCTGCAGGGGTAGACACAGGGTCTTGTAGAGGACATCGAACTCCTCGGGGAGGGTGTTCTTGCGCAGGCGGTAGGCCAGGTGCGCCAGCTGGAGCACGCAGGCCACTGCCAGCAGGAAGCTCCAGAGGATGATGTCCAGGCCGCAAGCACCAAACCAGCCCCACATCACGCAGCACACGAAGCCTGTGCCCAGGAAGCCAAAGAGGTAGAAGCATCCATACACCCCGCTGCCCCCCATGAAGCCCAGGAGCAAGAAGCAGTTGGCCAGGTGGAAGACGGCCCCTTCCAGGTCCCGCTTCCAGCCAAGGCACGCGGGGCCCTGCCACAGAGGCTGGCCTGCGGGGCTGCTGTGGGCGCTCATCCTCGGGGGCTCGGAGCCTCCGGGCCCCAAGGCTGTCCCCACGGAGCAAACTTGCAAAAACGGATTAATCTGTCCTCCCAGGGGTCTTCTCACGTCTGGCTTCTGGCCCCCAGGGCCACCTTTCCGGAGAGCAATGCTCCGGGCAGCTTGGGGACTGAACGGCAGAGCACGGGACACTCCATGGAGGATTTTAGAGCCGCCTTTCCCCTCTCGCTTTCCTCCAGCAAGGCTCCGGGTCTCTCAGGACGGTCCTCGCATTTGGCTCTGGGCAAGAACCTAAATTGTCCTGAGGCAAGGAGAGGACCGCGGGGCGAACGCCTGAGCAGGAGGGACGGAGTGGCCACGTCCTGCTGTCCGTTGTCCCCCACAGTGAGCAGAGCCCGGCGTGCAGGCACACTTGTGTTCCATTTGGAATGCGTCTCTCTTGGCACCGGAAGAAAGGGTGACCCCAGACGGATACCATGTTTGGAATTGGAATCCAAGAGGTACTGGCAGCGAGAAAAAACAGGCCAGGCTCACGGGCAGGCTGGCAGAGCACTTCACATACCTCCCAGGGGACAAGGGCTCCCGAGCCGGTGAGGCGGCCAGGGGAGGACGGAGGAGAAGTCAGCGCGGAATTGACCACAATATCTCGGACAGGGCCGGGCAGGGCTCTTGTGGGGAGGGCTAGGGGCTCTCCTGAGGTAGGACACATCAAAGTAGGAAAGTATGGGACTATTACAAGAAAAAATCCTAACAGTGAGAACTGGAAAACCCCGCAGAGGCCTTTATTAAGTCACATTATAAACATCACTAGGCGTTTATTTGACAACCAGTAAACAAAAATGACTAGGCAGGGGCAGCCCGGGTGGCTGGGTGGTTTGGCGCCGCCTTCAGCCCAGGGCCTGATCCTGGAGACCCGGGATCGAGTCCCACGTCGGGCTCCCTGCGTGGGGCCTGCTTCTCCCTCTGCCTGGGTCTCTGCCTCTCTCCCTCTGTATGTCTCTCATGAATAAATAAATAAAATATTTTTAAAAAAATGACTTTGAAGTCTAAGCTGACTCTCTTCTGCACGTATCTGGATCTAGCAATAGTTAATACGATGGTAATGCATTGCTCAGACCATCCCTCTACCCATTATTTGCAAATTATAATAACTACCACCTATTAAATACCTACCAAGTATCAGGCTGTGATTAGGTACTTTAGACACAAATTATTTAGTCAGGGGATCCCTGGGTGGCTCAGAGGTTTGGCGCCTGCCTTCAGCCTAGGGCATGATCCTGGAGTCCCGGGATCAAGTCCCACATCAGGCTCCCTGCATGGGGCCTGCTTTTCCCTCTGCCTGTGTCTCTGCCTCTCTCTCTGTGTGTGTCTGTCATGAATAAAAAGATAAAATATTTAAAAGAAATTATTTAGTCATTACACAATCCTTCCAGATAAGTACTATTTTCCTTCTAGATCTGAGAGAAACTGAGGCTCACAGAGGTAACGAGTTCCCGTAGGCAACAGTAGTCCAGCCAGGACTTGATCCCAAGTCAGACTCACTGCTATGCCAAGTAGTTTGCACAGTAAGTGGAAATAGACTAGATCCATGACTCCCAACCCCACATGCACACACACACCCTGGAAGTCTGATGACGTCCAAAGAACTTCTGGATGAACGTGGGGACTGTTTTGGGTCATCAAAAAACAAATCTGGAATATGCAAACGTTAAGACATGTTCTTCTGGTTTCCAAATGACTCTGATTTTTTTCCCTTGCTGCTAGTTAGTATTCATTATCAGTACTCCTATTGCTCCTGAGATAGGAGAGGGGGGAGGTCCTAGTAACCTTCTAGAACTATTTGAGTACTCAATGCATAGGGACTTTTATTATACTGCTGATAACCTAACTATAATTAGTGAGATATTAGAAACTGGCAAATTTGCGGAGTTGAAGTTTAAACCCAACAGAGATTTACTGGATGCCTACTATGTGCACTTGGAGAATCAGATTCCTAAGAGCTTTCACTCTATTAAGGGAAAGATACCTCAAAAAAAAAATGGCAATTCAGTGTGTGAAGCACAATAATTAAGCTTAAAGAGAGGTGACTGCCTAGAAGGAAGGGTGGTGTACACAAGGGATGATGTAAGAGCGGTATACTGCTCTTGGGATTGGGGGCTTAGGTATGGAATTAACCAGGTAGGTAGAGGAAGAAGAGCATTTCTAGAACAGCAGAAGCACAGCCCAGAGTTGTGAAAATGTATGGCATGTTGAAGGAAGCCAGTTTTTTTTTTTTTTAAAGATTGTATTTATCTATTTGAGAGAGAGTGCAAGTGAGCATGAGCAGGGGAGGGGCAGAAGGAGAGGGAGAAGCAGACTCCCCACTGAGCGGGATGCAGTGCTGGATCCCAGGACCCTGAGATCATGACCTGAGCTGAAGCCAGACGCCTATCCGACTGAGCCACCCAGGCGCACTCTTTTTTTAAATTAAAATCAACTGACCAACAAATGTGTATCTTATTCCCTTTACTCTACAGTAGACTGGGGGAAAAATCGGCGGCGGTAAAGGAGAAGAGCTAGAGAGCGCCCAGAGAAGGAAAGGGCCTGCCCCCAGTCTCAATCACAGCAATGATTTGGATGTCATTTGAGCAGTAGAGTTTGGGGATTTCCATATGCTGCCTTAATGTCACCTGCCCGCCTCCCAACCAACCCACCAGACTTTAGCAAGCGGCAGCTGCTCATCCTTCCAGTTTAGTCATGCGCCCAGAGCCCCAGAGTGGCTGTTCCTGCCAGCTGTGAGCCAGGAAATCAGAAACAGGAAAAGAGAAGCACCCAAGGCTCTGCTCCAGAGATGATAGAATTTCAAAGCAGGTCGTCCATCTCAGCAAACCCGACCAATGGGCCACCCGGATCCATTTAAAGAAACAGGGAAAAAAAAAAAAAAAAAAAAAAAGAAACAGGGAGACCCTTTGACTATTATTCTCAGCCGGCCTTCTTCGTCAACCCACATAGGTGCTCACCTGAGCAGAGGATGCAAACATTTATCAAGCAGAGACTGTTTCCTCATGTCATCCCATGGTACCATTTTTCTTTTTAGGAGAGGTTAAGGAAGGTCGCAGAGCTGTATGTGAACTAAAGCATAGGTCACTTAAATTGTCTGCTCTCTGTGTTGTCCCACTCTGCTAGGGGCCTTTGGGCATTTCTGTGTACCCCTATAGAGGCTCCTTGATTGCTCCAGGGGATTTGACTATGCTGCTGGTGGTGTGGCGTCACAGCACATTACCCCACATGCTGCCTGCAATGACAGTGAGGGTGATGCCTGAAGGATGGGAGCTGTGATGGGAATACAACAATGCAAAGTTGTATCTTGTTTTTAAAACCACATTTGAGGGCAGCCCCGGTGGCTCAGTGGTTTAGCGCCGCCTTCAGCCCAGGGTGTGATCCTGGAGACCCAGGATCGAGCCCTGTGTTGGGCTCCCTGCATGGAGCCTGCTTCTCCCTCTGCTTGTGTGTCTCTTCCCCTTTCTCTCTCTGTGTGCCTCTCATGAATAAATAAATAAAAACTTAAAAAAATAAAGAACTCTTAAAAAAACCACATTTGATAGAACAGGGGAAAAATTGTGTAAAAATGGTACATTCTTTTTTAAAATTAATTAATTAATCCTTTTAAGTAATCTCCACACTCAACATGACCCAAGACCAAGAGTTACATGCTCTACAGACTGAGCCAGCCAGATGCCCCACAATGGTATGTTCTTCTAAGGAGATCCCCCAAACATGCAGCTAGAAGCACAGTAGAAAATATTGGGGGAGAATAAAAGGAAACAAACAGAAGTCACACCGTTACATCATTTGTTGAGTTGACTCAACGCAATAAGCATTTATTTAGAGCAAAGTATGTGTGTCAAGCACATGGGATATAAAGACCAGCAAGGGGCACCTGGGTGGCTCAGGGGTTTAGCCTTGGGCTCAGGTTGTGATTCTGGGGTCCTGGGATCGAGTCCCACATCAGGCTCCCCACAGGGAGCCTGCTTCTCCCTCCTTCTATGTCTCTGCCTCTCTCTGTGTGTGTCTCTAATGAATAAATAAAATCTTTAAAAACTAAAATAAAATAAGTAAGTACATAAAGACCAGCACGACAATTGTCACTTTAAGGAATTTTTGGTCTAATGAGGGAGAGTGACCCAGAAATAATTGCAATCCAATAAAATAAGTTTATTTGGGGTTCCAAGGAAGCACTAATAGGGGAGAAAGTATTAAAAAAAAAAAACTCACAGGGAAAGTGACATTTAAGCTGCTCTAAAAAGATGACTAGGTGTTCCCCAACTAGGGGAACATTCCAGGAAGGGAGAACAGAATGTGAAGTCAAGTCCAGAAGTAAAACAAAAATACATGACATATTCTGATGACAGAGTACAGCCTGCTGTAGGTGAATCAAAGAAGCAGCAAGACACAAGGCAGGAGGGGCGGGCCGGGGCCAGATTATGGAGTCAGCTGGCTAACCTGCTTCTCCAAGTATGGCTGTGAAATACGGATTGTCTGAGAACTGTTACTGGTCCATGAGGAGATAAGGGCAGAAGCTGAGAGAACTTAGACATTTTTATAGCAAGTTGACAGAGGAAATTATGGCCTTTTAATGCAATAAAAACTAGGGGCCTTATTTGGTACATGTGGTTTTAAAAGTGTGTATTTCCTGTCTTCCTAGGATCGATTGTTAAATAGAAGAAACTAAACCACATATAGTTTGAAAAACACTGAGCTTGAAATTAATCCTTTCCTAATATATATTAAAATAGAATAAAGGCACAATCTAGGCTTTGGACCCATACCGCCAAGTCGACCTTAGGCAGACACTACTGGTTGTCTCTCCTATAGTCACTCCCTGTTTTTCCTGAGTTTATGGAACTGATTTTCTTGGGCAATATGTTAAGGAGGGTGGGCTTTGCCCCAGTTGCCAGGGCCTAAAATAGGTCTGGTCAAAGCCAAGCACGATATCCTATTTCCCTTGATGGCAACTGGTTTACGAGTGGGCATGGGACTAATGGGATATAAGAGGAAGTGTATGTAGAAGCTTCTGGGAAAAAGAAGACTTCCTGACAGTGAGAAGGCCTGCTACCTCTTGTCCTGGCTTGAATACAGATGCGCAGCGATGTAATGCTTGAGCTACCAGGAGATATGAGGTACCTAAGGATGGGAAGGATAAAGAGCCGAAAAGCAGAACAAGTTATAGTTCTCCAAGTATTACTGAGCTATTGTCTCCAATCTGGAACTTTCAACCTCCAGACTTCATGAGAGGAGGTGAACTACATTTAATGCTTAAGCACCGTAGTGAGGTGTTCTGGTACTTGCAGTTGAATGCTTCCAGATTCAGATCTCCCTTAGGCTCTCTGTAAGGACCACTCTTCAGGAAACAGTTCTCTGAATACCCGATTGCTTTATTCTGTGAAAACTGAACATCAGACAATGTATTGTGTTCTACCAATATCTTTTTCTCAAAAGTTTAAGTAAACAGATGACACATTTAAACTCAATGTGGCCGCTCAGGATGACTTGGTTGTTAAGTGAACAAGGTGGTTTAGTGGAAAATTGGTTGCCTACTCAAAATCCATTTATCCCTTCCTCCTTGTTACAGAATTCCTGTTTTGTGCTGATATCTATAATTAGGCATGGATCAGAAGGCAGGGGGAGGGGGTTCTGTTGTCAATCAGCATAAGGCATTCTGTTTGGCAACTATTATTGGTCCATAAAAGTGCACATAACCTAATTTGGCTTAATCAGACTTATAAAAAAGTGGGGAGGATTTCATGCCTTAGGAATGGTTTCTTTCTTCTGTTCTACTTGAACAAGGAAGCACATGGTTTCGTCAGTCCTGTAAGAAATCGCTCTGAGGGATGCCTGGGTGGCTCAATTGGTTAAGTGTCTCCCTTCAGCTCAGGTCATGATCCCAGGGTCCTGGGATCCAGGCCCATGTTGGGTTCCTGCTCAAAGAGGAGTCTGCTTCTCTGTCCCCACTTGTGTTCTCACCCTCTCCATCACTCTCCCTCTTAAATAAATAAAATCATTAAAAAAACCCCTCTAAGATGAAAATAATTTGAGTCTTGGATGGTATCACTGAACCTATGATATCACTGCATCTAGAGCTCACCCTCTGAATTTCTAGTCATATTACTTCCTTTCAGAATCACCATAATTAACACAGATGGAACTACCAGCTAGCAGTTTTTGATAGCTAAAGGAAGAAACCTCAGGTAGTCACACATGCACTCTTTTTAGGAAAGTATCTTGGAATATTCACCATAGTACCGAGTACTCAATTTTACATGTTTATATTTTATATCTACTAGATTATAAGCTCTTTGAGAGTAGGGACCATGGTTTATTATCTTTGTTCACTACTTAGCACGCGGTTAGCATATATTATGACCTGAGTAAATAAATGTTGAGTCAAATAGCCTCTCGTCTCCTTGAGGATAAGATGTGTCTGATTCATACATGAATATTTAACACCTAGAGCAGTTCTTGCATCTGATAGGCTTTCACTAAGTATGAGCTGAATGAATAAATGAATTTAGAACTATGAATATGTGATATTTGTAGTAAATACTTGGCACAGGAAAGAACACTGGGCTTAAACTCTACTGACCAAGACTCACATCTCAGGTCTGACCAGTGATTTCCTTAGTGAGTACCTCTCACCTATAAAACGGGGAATATGTTTTTTCCAGGAGCCTTGCACCATTCCTTTTATCAGTAGGCCTTGCTTAGAGTCATGGTCCTATTCTTATCAACCTTTCAGTCAAATGTTTTAAGGTTAGACAAAAGGAAATGATTAGAAAGAATGGTGTGAATGTATCTGTATTGAGTTTGGGAATTACTGTGAATAGCAAGGGCTTAGGAAAGATATTGCGTCAGAATGTGGTGGTCACCTACCAGGAAGTGAAGTTCACTTTTCAAATTACTGTGGGAGCATCTCTTACTATTATTAGTACCAAAATGTTGTGTATAATCTTTGGGAAGGCTTACTTAAGTATTAGGGGAGGATGGGCAGAGGGTCTGTGAGATGTATTTTTAACTATGGTAGATGTCAAGGGTGCTTTAGTTCCTTTACATGTCATGTAAGCATATCAAACTGGCAAAGGTTGAAAAAATTAACCTTGCTGAGAGCTTAGGGAAATAGGACCCTCAGATACAAAGGTAAAAGTGGGTAACCCCTTTCTAGAGATCAGTCAGGCAGTACTTATCCAAAGCCTTGAAAACATGCATAGCTTTGGGCCCATCCTTAGCTAGTGATTAGTAAAGGATTTGTTGTTGTTTTAAAGATTTTATTTATTTATTCATGAGACACAGAGAAAGGCAAAGACATAGGCAGAGGGAGGAGCAGGCTCCATGCAGGGAGCCCAAAGTGGGACTCGATCCCAGGACTCCAGGATCACGCCCTGGGTGGAAGGCAAGACGCTCAACCGCTGAACCACCCAGGCGTCCCTATTAGTAAAGGAATTGTAAAGAATTTCCTATGGAAACTCCAGTGCAATGTTGTTATGGAGTAGCCAAAAAAAAAAAAAAAGTAAAAATAAAATATATACACGCAGAAAGAGACGAATGGCAAGGTCACCAAAAAGACCAGTGGGATTTCAGGTGATTTCTTCCTCATATGTTTCAATTAAACCAATCAACAAATCAGAAATAATTTAGGTATCAGGTATATATGTTCTGTTCAAGACTGATACTCAATTCCATGAATGGTATGACACATAGCAAGCAATCTACAAAACATTTGGTTTAATGCATGAATGTATAAAACAGTAGGGAATTGGTTAAACCACAGTAAGTTTAGAATGGATTTATACATAGCCAATACAAATCATATTGTGAGAACTATATTCACAGCTGGTAAGTTACATCAAGGGGAAAAAGTAACTAATATTATGATTTCATTAAAAATATATAGCATAAAAAAATAAAATAAAAAAATATATAGCATAACAAAAATAAAAATATATAGCATAGAAAAATGACATCATTTTTTATTTTAAAAGGATGTATAAATGCATAAGAAAAGTCTGAACAGCATACAGCAAAGATTCACACTGGGTGGTAAGTTTATAGATTTTCCTCCCCTTTTTTATAATCCAGGACATATTCAAGCAAAATCTGGATGACCATCTGCCAAATACTGGTGTTTGGTGGGAAGTTGATTTTTATCAGTCTTGGGAGTCCAAGATTCTACTCTTCATCTAGAATGCTCTGAAAGCTATAAATTACTTCCTAAAAATATTATATCGAAACAAATATTCAGGTGGAAACATGAGTATAGAATCAAAGAATTAGAGTAACACTAAATACTAGATACTATGCCAAATGTACAGTATATACACCATTTTAATAGTGCTCACAATCTTGTACACTATTACTACTATCCTTTTATTTTTTTATTTTTATTTTTTTTTAAAGATTTATTTATTTATTCATGATAGACTTAGAGAGAGAGGCAGAGACACAGGAGGAGGGAGAAGCAGGCTCCACACCGGGAGCTCAACGCGGGACTCGATCCCAGGACCCGAGGACGGCGCCCTGGGCCAAAGGCAGGCGCTAAACCGCTGAGCCACCCAGGGATCGCTCCTTTTATTTTTTTTTTAAGATTTTATTTATTCATGAGAGACACACAGAGAGCAGAGACACAGACAGAGGGAGAAGCAGGCTCCTTGCAGGGAGTCCGATGTGGGATTTGATCCTGGGACTCCAGGACCATGCCCTGAGCTGAAGGCAGCCGCTCAACCCCTGAGCCACCCAGGCGTCCCCCTTGCTTCTTTTCTTTCGGAGGAGAAAAACAGACCCAAAGAGGTTGTGACCTGCTTGAGGTGACAGAGCTAGCTGTTGAACTGAAGTCTGTCATACTTCAAAACCATGCTCTTAATTAACTAGGAATCCTAAGGAACAATTTAATTCAGCTCCTTTAGAAGAGAGGCAACTTTCCCATCAGAGAATGACATATGGACACTACATATTATTTTCTTCAGTATCTTTTGTTGTTGAGATTTGAAACTCAATTCACTTCAGGCAGAACGTGACCAATTGCTTCAATAGCCCGTAAGCAGCTAACAGGCCCAGGGGTTTGCTATAGTAAGCAAACCACACTCTATGTTCCATCCCAGGTATCACTACAGCAGAGCACTGAGCTATTTCACTGGTGACTTAATTATACTAGTCTAGCCTCTGGCCTGGGACAGCTTCTAACCAGTAAGAGACAATTATTTGGCCAGGAGGCATTAAATTAATGATCCTAGTTTATCTTAATATGTAACTAGACATCTACAGATTAATCATGCCAAACAGTTGAGATCTTCTAAGCCAAGGCACCCTAACGTGGTCCAAAATCTAAACAAATAACTTTCCCAAAAGAGAAAACTAAAAAAGAAAAAAAAAAAAAAGAGAGAGAGAGAGAACTAGCCAAGAATAACAATAATGATATAAAGCATGAAGACTGAAGGCTTGTCTACCTCTTGCCTTTAAGTAAGTTAAAAATGAAAAACAAAACATTGAATGAGATGGTATGGCTACCATACTCATTCTGAATTGGTAAAGGGTATTTCCTTACTTCTATGCCCTTCATTTTGGAGATTTCACTAAACGAGATTAGTATTTACTTTCTCCTTACAACACATATCTAGAGTTCCCAGAATGACACAAGAACAGAAGGAATTAATATTATGGGTTTTTTAAAAAAATACTATATCCTTTAAGGAAAATAGGTAAGTGCCATGTAGGGATGTATGGAACACAAAAAGAAAACACACCTGAAGATTTCTGACCAGTGATATTTTCCTTTATTTTTTAAATAAATTATAAATACTTTTTCCATTTATCAAAGTTCCTCAAAGAATTCTCAAAACTATTCAATCTTCTTCATTCTTCAAGGATTATTCATTTACAGAGTAAACCACCTACAAAAAAAAATTTATATTAGAAAATTAGATTTCAAACATCGTGCTACAGCTATGGAATTAGGGAATTAAGACCACTAGAAATGAATGCCTCATCCACCTACTATTAACTAACTGCCATAATTACTAAACCACAGTTTAGAATTAAAAAAACTCTAGTTTTAAATTCTAATTTTGTCTAACTAAAAAAATCACTGAAACTATTCAATCCAGTACATTTTTTAATCTTTAGAAGTCTTTGTTAAAAACTCTATATTTATTTACTAAAAAATATCTTCCCCAAAAGACTAGGGCAGTTTATTTTTACAGATAGTCAAGATAAGAGACTTGCAAAGCCCTCCTTGCTGATTCAAGTATGTTTGGCAAAGACCCATGAAGTGGAAGGCAGAAGGTCAGCTCCGCATACAAGGCACTTCCTGTGGAAAGTTACTCACTTTATCCCCAGAGCAAAATATGGGTAACCCTTTTGAAATCTATTTAGAAATCAGAAAAGGAAAATAGTGGAGGATAGGTTTGCTGGTCTAAGTCAATCAGTATCAGGCTTCTATCCATGTTGTTCTCACCCACCCCTACCCCCAGCCCCTATTCCAGAAGACAGAGAACAATGCTAAAAACGGTTAACTAAATAATCTGGGTTAGACAGCTCTTCAAACCCAAAGCAAGTGCTTCTTCCTTCATCTAGCTATTATTCCCTGCATGTGGTTTAGAAAAGGTAAGCCTCATCAATAATACAAACATCTAAACTCTCTTTTCTAAAAGGCTCAAAGGAAGAATATACTTAAGGAAAGGATTGAGCAGGAAAGATAAGCAAAAAAGGAGCCACTCAACACTGTAAGAGATAGCAATCCATAGCACTGCTGCCTCTCTTACCACCATGTATCAGGAGGGGCTATCCCGAAAGCCTCTGGGTGTAAACCTCTTGGTTATATATCTGGGTAGAAAGTCCTCGACAAAAGAGACCCTGTCTTTCTCATGCTGGCATTTTCTAGGGTATTCAACAATAACTATCTATTGAATGAATAAAAGTTTGAATAGCAAGAAATAACACCTTTTCTGGATTTTCTTGGGTTATTTTCATACATAATCAGTTGTGTATGTGTGTGAAATCAGCACATTTTAACCAACTATTAAGTTCTGTTAAACAGTAACTATTGAGTATCTCCACTACTCAGTGCTAGTCCTTTTATTTTCCTTCAATGATTTTAGCCCCCAAACTGAGTTCTCAGGGTTCCTTCTGACTCCTGAAGTCAGCAAGATACTAGCTACCATTTCCTCTTTACATTTTTAAGCAGGTTCTCAGTTCCTCTAGTTTCTTTCAGTAAGAATCTTAAGATAGAAGAAAGTGTCAAAAATCACCACCATCACACGCTTATTTTTCCTTAGGAGTAGTTTTCAAGTTTCTGCCTTTGCTACCATTAAATATTTAGACAGTTTATATTTAGCAATACCCTGGCTACTTCTTCAGCTTAACCCAGTGGTTCTTAAAGAAGGTTACATGTGAAAATTATCTAGGAGTTTCTGAGTCAACAGGAACAGATCAAGGCCCAGGGCATGTGAATTTTGGAAAACAGTCCTTAGGTGATTACAAGGTACACCTCTGGTTGAATGTAGCCTACTTTTAGGCTACTAAATTCAAGGTACAATAAGACCTATCTTACTTAGGATATAGCATTAAAATCTACAAAGGTTTTTGAATTAAATAACTTTTGTGATCATTACTGGGAAGATCTAGGTGTCAAAACTAGGTTTCCTTTAAAGCTATCCTCAGAAAAATGTGGTCTAAGTCTAAGAGATACCAACTTAGGTTTATCTTATAACAATGTAGACAGTAGTACTGGGTTTTACAGCCAATAAGCTGGTTACTGAGTTATATGTACCAACACATTTCAACAATAATAATTTTAATTCGCATTCAAAATAAGGTTTTAGGATTGAAGATCAAAACTATGTGAAAATGAGTATGTTGGCAATAAGATCTCATTAAGTGCAAGGAATGAAGTCTAAAGTGTGTTTTAGAGAACATAAAAAAAAAAATAGAGAACATAAAAGACCTACACTCTTAGTGTTAATTCCACCAGCTAGTCATTCTTAGCTTGAGCAAGTCTTTTTTTTTTTTTTAAACTTCACGGTCTTTTTATTTTTACTTCACTGTTCGTCCATTTCCCAATGGGAGTTGGGGAAACAGGACACCTGGGACCAAAGGAGATCCAAACACCTGTTCCTTTTCCAAAAGTACTATCATGCCGAAAACGAAAACATGACATTTGAATTCTAAGAAGGCCGTATGTGGATTCAGACTGTTCTCCTCATAACCAGGGTTCAAAAATCCATAATCAGGTCATATATTCAATAGACCTCAACTGAATGTCTGCTATGCACAATTCCCAAGATATGGGCTATTCCGTTCTGGTTTCTATCTAATAGTTTACAGATCCTATTCATACACCTGTCATTTAATCATCACAATGACTCTGTGAAGTAAAACTACGGTTCAGAAAGTTAAGGACTTGACAAAGACCACACAGTTAAACACCAGGTCTTGTAAGTCCAAAGCTCTTGCATTTTCTTCTACACACAAATCAAGTATATAGCAATCACTCTCATTCTTTGTCCCAATAATATAAAGACAACTAGGACATCTTTGAGTCCTTGTGAATTCATGCTAAGTACAACAACAGTTGGAACACCCTTGAAAATCACGCTTTTAATTTTTTAAAAAAGATTTTATTTATTTTACTTGAGAGAGAGAGAGAGAGTGTGTGTGAGCACAAGCAGGGGCTATGGGGTAGAGCAAGAAGCAGACTCTTTGAACCAAGTGGGGAGCCCAATGCAGGGATGGACCCTAGGACCCTGGGATGATGACCTGAGCCAAAGGCTGACACTTAACTGACTGAGCTACCCAGGTGCCCCCAAATCACCCTTTTTATCAGGTCAGGCTTGGTGTTAGCAAAAAGTTTGCACAACAACCTAGGAAGAAAGTTAGATTATGAACAAGGAAACTGTGTAAAAATGTTAAGATTTTAGGTCTTTAAAAATAATAAGTAAACTCACACTTTTAAAGAACACCCCCCTCCACACACATACACCCAAACTTACTTATTTTACAAAATGATTCACCATAGGATTTAAAGAAAGCCACTTAAGAGACACGCCTGGGTGTCTCAGCGGTTGAACATCTGCCTTTGGCTCAGGGTGTCATCCCAGATCTGGGGATGGAGTCCCACATCGGGCTCCCTGTGAGGAGGATGCTTCTCCCTCTATGTCTCTGCCTTTCTCTGTCTCTCATGAATAAATACATTTTTAAAAAAATCTTTATAAATAAAGCCACTTAAATATGTCATGTACACACAGATATACCATACCATATATAAAATCACAAAATGTATTATGGTTCTCTTTTTATAAATTAAAAAAAAATGAAATCCAGAGAGGATTAGTGTCTTGAATGTTAAATGTAGCTGAAGTAGAATACATGCTAAGCTAGAGGTCCAGAGAACCAAAATTAAGTCTCAGGGCTTTCAGCCTAGACTATTTTCCACTACATAGTGGTATTTCTTATCAGCTTGGAACAGGTTCCTTATCTGTCCTTTTTTTACAGCTCAAAGAAGACTAGCCATATGTGAAATTCTAAAGAGGCAGGAGAGAGGTGAAAGGGAAAGAAGCCAGACTTTCTATTGCTGTTATATTGGTATGTGACTTTGGCATTATCTCTCAGCTATTATTAAGTTAAAAGTGGCGGTGTGGTGTGGATGTTGAGCGGTGGGAGGGGGTGGGCAAAAAGCAAAGAAGTCTGCCTGGAGACAGAGGCTCCAGTTCTGATCTTGCTAACTCACTTTGGGAGCCATTCCACACCTACAGGCCTTAGTTCCTCATTTATTTATTTATTCATTTAATTAACAACTCTCTGTTGAGCACCTACTATGTGCCAGGCATGGTTATAGGGATATGACAGTGAGTAAAGCAAAAATTCTTACTTTCTCAGAGTTTACATTCTACTTGGAGTAAAGCAATGCAGATAATAAATAAATATCTAATATGCAAGCAGTGATGTTAAGGATAGCGTAGCCACTAGCCGTTTGTGGCTATTCAAATTAAAATAAAGAAAACTAAAAATTCACTTCTTCAGTTTTACTAGCCATGTTCCAGGGGCTCAATAATCACATATGGCTAGTGGCTACCACAGTGGAGAGTGAAGGTACAGACAGAACATTTTCACCATCACAGAAAATTCTATCAGACAGTACTGGGATAGCGTGATGGAGAAGGGATGCTATTTCAGATGGAGTGTTGAGCCAAAGCTTTTCCAATGAGACTTTAAATGTTTTTTTTTTTTATTTATTTATGTGAGAGAGAGAGAAAGCACAAGATGGGGAGGGGCAGAGGAGAAGGAGAAGCAGATTCCTCACTGAGCTGGGAGCCCCATGAGAGGCTCAATCTCAGGACCCCAGGATAATGACCTAAGCCGAAGGCAGACACTTAACCAATTGAGCCACCCAGGTGCCCCATAAGGTGACTTTTGAACAGAGACCTGAATGAAGTGCGGGAGGGAATTCAGGTGCTATCTGAAGAAAGAGCTTCCAAACAAAAGATCATTTATTTGTGGGACTGTATAATTTAAGGTCCCTTTCAGCATTAAAATTTAGGTTCAAAGTTCTTAAAAAAAAAAAAAAGTCTGAGGTTGTAGTATTATTAGAAGCCTAGTACAAAAGAAATAGTGAGAATTCCTTTTTCTTTTGCAGAAAGCAATGCTTCCATGTATTGCCTACTCCCTATTTAAAAGTTCCTACTAAAGACCCACAACAGGGCACTTGGGTGGCTCAGTTGGTTAAGCATCTGCCTTCAGCTCATGATCCTGGGGTCCTGGGATGGAGCCCTACATCTGGCTCCCTGCTCAGTGAGGAGTCTGTTTCTCCCTCTCCCATTCCCCCTGCTTGTCCTCTCTGTCAAAGAAACAAAATCCTTAAAAAAAATAAAAAAATAAAGACCCACAACATCAGAGACAAGAAGTAAAGATTATTTTCCTTTTAGTTCCTTTAAGTCAGACAACTGAATATTCTGAGCTTCCTAAATTATCTCTTCTGACTCTAACTAACTCTAAAGGCTTTTATCAAACCCTGTTTTAAAAGATAAATTCTCCCTCCCCAAATCCACTGAATGCCTCTCAACTTACTAGCATCATTTAGTCCCTACATTAGAAACTGAAAATTATTTTTAAGTGAGACTTGAGCATCTTAACCAGGTGAACTACACTTTGAATGGAAGCTTGCCCAATGACTGCTAAATCTGCAAAGCACAAATTTGAAGCAATAAGCTTATGTATTATCTTCCCAATCGGAAAGTATCACGCTCACCATTTTATATCTTAAATCCCAGGGCTCTCATGCACTCCTTGTGGGCCTCAATTAGGTGTCCACAGTGCTCCTCTCCTTTCTCAATGATGCTATAAAAACAAAATGTACTTGTTATCTAACAAAGTAGGCATTAAGTACATTACTAGTAAACAAGCAGCATGATAGTGATGGGGGGTGAGACAGAACATGGGTCTGATGGAATGTAGCTGAAGCTTTATTTTTTTTTTTATTTCTTCATTTTTGTATTTATCTTTTTATTGGAGTTTGATTTGCCAACAGTAGCTGGAGGTTTAAAAAAATGCTATTACATTAAATGGCTTTGTTTTTATTGGCTCTTGTAATATTTCTGTGCCCATGAAGATATTCCACAGACAATCGCTTCTCGGCCTTTTGGCTAAGATCAAGTGAAGATATTCCACAGACAACTAGCTTTTAGGGAGAATCTAATTAGAAGAAATAATTATGCCTATCAAATATTGCCTCTAGCTTATATCCAAGGAACATACATAGTTCTCTAATGAAATAAACCATCTGAACATTTACCTTCAATTTGCCTACTATAAAAGAATTAAATTTTTCATTCTGCCCTACATTCAAACAGACCCAAATAAATCTCCTCCTAATCAAAATACACCCAACCACAAAAACATCAAGATCTGCCAGCCAACAGCAGCCTAATGAGCCTCCCTCATGATGAGCAAAGAACTTTCTATTTGTAGGATGCACAAAGTAAAAACTAGGACCGTAGAGCTTGACTTCTAGGGCCTGAAAAGGCAATTTTAGTAAAGATGAAGTTAAGCCGAATCTAATTATAAGAAAAAAACTGACTACTAACTATAGATATTTGCGCATAGTGGTCTGAGGCAACTAACATGAAAACAATTGGAAAGATAGATTTTCCTTCTTTAAAGAAAATAAATAAATAAATAAATAAATAAATAAATAAATACCATACATCCTTCAATAGCTCAAGGGCTGCCTGCAAATGAAGGGATGCTGGGGATAGAGCCCCCTGTGAAGAGAACAGCTGGCGAGGCCCTCGTGTGGCTTGTATCATTGACCTGTACAGTAATCCTAGAGGCGGACACTTTTATTAGCCCCATTTTACAGACACAGGACGCAGGTACCGTAAGTGATTTGCTCAAGGTCACAAAGCTGGTGGACCAAGGATTCAAATCAAACCTTGACTCTGCATCTCAGGCTCTCAGTCATGACTCCGGGCTCTTTTTAAAATTCAATAAGCACTTACTGTTAACTAGGAAAGCCATTTCTGCATCAGACTGTCGCCTTTCGATTCTTTCACGGTATTATTTGCGAAGTATCGAGCAGTAATAAAAAGCACTAAGCTCCTTACAACTTAACCGCACTATGGCACTTTTGATTTTTTTTTTTTTTTTTTTTGGTGTGAGGATAAAAAAGGGGCTGGAGGGAGAGGTGTGCATTCACATTTTCTGCCCATTCCCCCGAATGAGGTTTGTTCCACAACGGAGGCGGTATCAAATGAAAAGAAACGAAACCTTCCGTGGGTTGATGGTAATTGGTCATTTAGATGTACTATTCTCAACACGGTGCCACCCTGCTCCACAGGTGATTTTTTTTCATTCATCTCTCCAAAGATGATGGAGGAGGAGAGGCAAAGGGGGACTCTTCAGTACTTTTAAGACACGTAACCGGGTCCCGCTGTGCTAAAATTTTACCAGAAAACTTTTACTCTTCGATCTTGCCAAGTCTTCTCTCCTAGCCCGTACCGCGTGGTAACAGCAATCATTAGTATAGGCTTCCATTAATTTTAAGCTCCTTTTTAAGTCAATTCTCATCTTTCATCTATTTCTACGTATTTAGGAGACCGAAGGGCAGCACTTGACGCGTTAACAGAGGCTCAAAGACCCTTTGCAGAAAAGCTGAACGGGTGAAGCGAGCCCGCTTCGTCCACGTCCCCCGGCTGGGCTACAGGGACAGCCGGCCCACAGCCCACGGGGCCCTACAACTCCCAAGGGCGCAGCACAGCGAGCCGGGTCCGGTACGAGCCCGAGGCCGAGCGGGGTACGGAGGCACCTGCCCGCCGCCCCCTCCCGCTTGCGCACTGACCACGCATCGCGCGCCTTCTTGGTCTCCGGGCAGGCGCAGCAGGGCTTCAGCGGCTTTTTCTCCTGTGCGTCAGATGGGGTAGGGCTTGCGGCCGCTAGGCCCGGCATCTTTGAAGCGTAGAGGCAGCAACGAGCACCGCCACCTTACACGGTTCCAGGCCCGGCGCACGCCGATTCGCTCGCCGTCACTTCCGGCGGAGCTCTACGGGGGACAGGAAGTCCCGCCCCACCCCCACCCCCCGCAGGAGACGGGGGGGGGAACTTGGCGCCTGCGCAGAGGAAGCTAACAGAGGCAATGAAGTGCGGGCGCTTCTTCGGCGCAGGCGCAGAGAGGCGCGGGGGGAAAGGGCAGGTTGTGAGGCGCCCCGGGGGCGGCTGGAAAGGCGGCGACCGGCAGGTATCTCCGCCCAGCGGTGGGAAACCGAAGCCCGAGAGGGTGAGATGACTTGTCCACGCCCACCAGGAGGAACCGCTGACGAAAGCCGGTTCCCCGCCGAGTCACGGATCGACTCCGCGTGTTTCCTGCTGTCGGACGGTCGGCCCGCTCCTCCCATTTTCTGATTCAGTTAAACTTGATGATCAAAGACATTTGAACAGTGCGACCCACCGGTGAGAGGGGAAAACGCGCCTGCCGTTCTCCATGCACCTTAATTTAAAAAAAAAAAAAAGATTTTATTTATTTATTCATTCATGAGAGACCCAGGCAGAGGGAGAAGCAGGCTCCACGCAGGGAGCCCGACGTGGGACTCGACCCCGGGTCTCCAGGGTCATGCCCTGGGCCGAAGGCAGCCGCCAACCCGCTGAGCCACCCGGGCTGCCCTACACTTTAATTCTTCGCGAAAAATTGTTCCTAGCTCCCTTTCTAAGTGATTTGATTTCACTATGACTTGTTCTCACTCGTAGGGCAGAGAAACCAGTTAATGAAGTTGAAAAATGACTATTTCCTTGGCACGTCTCGAATTCCATTAGGTACATAAGTAAACGGGTGCCTACTGTTTGCAGTTGTGGAGGGTTGTTGTGTGTTTTGTTTGTTTCGTTTTGTTATTTTCCTGCAGAGAATTGTTGGGAGAAAGGGATTAAACTTATTTTTTTTTTTTTTAAAGCAGGACTTCGAGGCGTCAGAGAGCTGCCTAGTGATTGATATTTTGGGTAATCAAACTTATCAGTATCCCCTAATCAAGGTTCGTTTCTGTATGCTAGAGATTTGGTTCGGGGAATCCGTAGGTATATACGGCTGTAAACTGGCGCTGTATAGAAATGATTTCTCGGTTTGTGCACCTGGTCTCGGCTGGTCTGCCCGAGACCCCCCTGAGCGCCAATCCCACCCCCTCCCCGCGCGGTCCCATTTCCGCTCCAACAAGAGGAAAGAAACCATCGTGAACCAGGAGAAACTCGCCAAACTGCAAGCACAGGTGCGCATTGGTGGCAAAGGAACTACTTGCCGAGAGAAGAAGGTGGTTCACAGAAGAAATGCAGCAGATGATAAAAAAAAAAAAAACAAAAAACAAAAACAAAACTTCAGTTCTCCTTAAAGAAGTTAGGGGTTTAAACAGTATGTTACTGAAGAAGTGAGTATGTTCACAAACCAAGGAACAGTGATCCACTTGAACCACCCTACAGTTCAGGCATCAGCGAACACTTGGACCATTATAGGCCATGTGGAGACCAAGCAGCTGATGGAAATGTGACCCAGTGTTTTAAACCAGCTTGGTGCAGACCGTCTGACTAGTTTAAGAAGACTGGCTGAAGCTCTGCCCAAACAAATCTGTGGATGGAGAAGCACCACTTGCCACCGGAGAGGAGGAGGAGGAGGAGGAGGAGGATGAAGTTCCAGATCTTGTAGAGAATTTTGATGAAACTTCTAAGAATGAAGCAAACTGCATGGAGTCAACTTCTGAAGAAGATAAAACTTGAAGAAGTTACTGGGAGCTGCTCTTTCATATTATGACTGCTTTTTTTTTTTTTATGACTGCTTTTTAAAATTTTGTTCATGGATCTGATAAAAATCTAGATCTCTTAATATTTTTAAGCCCAAGCCCCTTGGACACTGCAGCTCTTTCAGTTTTTGCTTATACACAATTCATTCTTTGCAGCTAATTAAGCTGAAGAAGCCTGGGAATAAAGTTTGAAACAAGGTTAATAAAGTTCTTTGCCTAGGAAAAAAAAAGAAAGAATTTCTGTGTATTTTCCAAATTACAAAAACGATCTCCATTTTGTCAACTAAAAACTTAATGAGCATGTTTTTTACTTCATTATGGATTGTACGTTTCATAATAAAACATATTGTCCTTATGTTTTCCTAAAATCACCCTTATCCACCATTATCAGTTTTTTCGACTAGATATTCACTACTGTTGTTTAATATCTTGCTATTCAAACAGTGCCTCTTGGACTGCCAACATCAACATCGTTTGGAAAAGTAATGTACAATAAACATGGCTGAATAAATCAATGGGGAAAAGAAAACAAATGGAAGAAAATTGAACACCACATCAGAAGGTGGGTCTCTGGGGGTCCCTGGGTGGCTCAGTTGGTTAAGGGGTGCTTTTGGCTCAGGTCATGATCCTGGAGTCCCCTGATGGAGCCTGATGTTGGACTCCCTGCTCAGTGGGGAGTCTGCTTCTTTCTCTGCCCACCCCACTCCTGCTGTCTCACTTGCTCACTCTCACATAAATAAAATCTTAAAAAAAAAAATGCATCTGTGGATGCATTAAAGGTCTACATATGAAAGGTCAAACTAAGAAATTAATAGAAGATAGTGATAGTAGAAGAGCTTTTCTTTTTTTCTTATTAAAATAATCATCCTAACTCTAGGGGTGCTGGGCTGGCTCAGTCAGTGGAGGGTTCGACTCTTAATCTCGGGGTCATGAGTTTGAGCCACACGTTGGGTATAGAGATTACTTACAGATCAAATTTTAAACAATCATCCCAACTTGTATAGCATGTCTCCGTTACTGAGGATTCCAAAATACATTAATGTAAAGTTGGTAGAGGTTATCTTTATACTAAGGAGTGGAGTACAACCTATTTGGCAACATTTCAAAATCACAAATTGTGAGTGCCAACACAAATTGAACAAACCATTTAGAATCTAATAGTAAAGAGAGACAGTTTTATCTGAGCCCACATTAGGACAGTGCTCAGGAAACACTCTTCACAGGGAGGAAAGTACTCTGGAGAATGAAAAGTTTTTACAGTTGTATCTTTTTCCATCTTGTAAAAGCTCAAAAGATTATAGATTAGCATATAGGCAGGAATCACGAGTTTTACTGTAAAGGAATGCAGGGAACAGAAATGTTGATTGATAACTCTGGGACAAGATGGGTTTTCCTTTAGGCTACTCGTTCACAAAGCATGTGTGCATTGCATGTGTGGCAGACCATATATCAAGCTTTTGTTTTGAACAAAGTTTATGTACAGTCATGCTAACTTAGAAAGAAATCTAAGGGATCCCTGGGTGGCGCAGCGGTTTGGCGCCTGCCTTTGGCCCAGGGCGCGATCCTGGAGACCCGGGATCGAGTCCCACATCAGGCTCCCGGTGCATGGAGCCTGCTTCTCCCTCTGCCTGTGTCTCTGCCTCTCTCTCTCTCTCTCTGTGACTATCATAAATAAATAAAAAAAAAAATTTAAAAAAGAAAGAAATCTAAAATGGCTTCCCTTGTATATAAGGCCTTTTAGAGAGTTTCTTTCATCATAATTAAAAAAAATGAAGTTAATTACATTAAAATAAAGGCTTGCCGTTTTCCGTAGGACATATTAAACAAAGAAGCTATTAGACTGATGTGGCACTAATGGTGGCACTAATGGTGCAGTGATGTACATTAAGCAAACTGAAAGTTAAGCCTACAAATACCTCAAGGTTACAAAATCAAAATGCTAAGGACAACCATTCACAAACAGCCAACTAAAGTTTTAAGCTGTGGCCAATCAATAATATCCTTTCTTCTGCCTTTTCTCTGTAGAGGCCTCTCTCTGAGCTCCTGTCAGTGGAGTGAGTGTTCCTAACCATTTCTGCTGCTCAATTTGTAACAATTTTTGTTCAAATAAACTCTTAAAAATTTTAATATGCCTCAGTTTATCTTTTAATAGAAACTATAGACAAAAATAACACACAGATGATGAATTGGTCAAAGATATTTGAAACATCTAAATCCAACAAGGGATTGATGTCTAGAATATTTAAGGAACTTACAGAAAGTAATGAGAAGACCAACCCCAACAGAGATATGGAAAAGAGATATAAACAGTATATAGAAGCAGAAACGTTCAACTTGTTTTTGTTTGCATACTTATTAAAGGCAAGAGAATATGTAGAATAAATAGAAAACTTGAGGCCAACATTCATAAAAAGAGCTCTTCCGAAAGTGTATTAATTGTAGAAATGGAAAAGAAAACAACAGTGAAATATCACTTTATACCCATTAGACAAATTAGAAAGCTGAATAATGCCAAGTACCTGTGAGAAGGCAGGTTACTGTTGGGAATGTGTGTTTTGGAAGGCAGTTAGGCAGTATCCAGTTAATTTAAGAATAGTTGCATAGTCTGTGACTCAACAATTCTGTCTCTGGATGTGTATTCCAGAGAACTTCCCAGGAAGTCCATAAGGGAACATACATGGGGATAATTGTCACAGCATGTTTATGTGGCAGAGAAGTAGAGGCAATGTGGGCATTCATCCCTGCGGGGTGGATAGGGAAGTGTATTGTACAGGGCACACACTAGAAGAAATTGACAGCATACACAAACAACATTTTTTTTTTTTAAAAAGTGTGGGTACTGAAAAAAAAGAAAGAGAATAAGTACATACCCCAATACCATTTACATAAATTTAAAGAAGGGGTACAAAAACCTGAAAATACCCATAAAAATACATATGTATAAAATGACTTGCTTTAAACAGAATGGTTGTTTAAGAAGGAAGGTAAGTATGGGAAGAGAATGGGGATAAATGCAAATGAATAAAATGACCTTGCAGAGACCAATGATGACAATGTGTCATGCACAGAGCAGGATAAATAAGTCAATTTTCTGTGCTTGAAAAACAAAACTATACTGGTTGCATCCCACTAAATGCAATCTGGAAAACACTGCTTCGTGGAGTAGTAATTGAATTTAATGATTTTGATGTCCTCTTTCACTACCCTTTTAGCTGGTGTGGAATAAAGTAAGTTTTATCCTAAGAGCTTAAGC